ATATCATCACAAGAAGGGCACTTTCTACCTCCAGAGTCATCGTTCTCCAATCCTAGAGCCCCAGTCTGATATGAGAAGAGCAGAAGACAGATTCAGTTGAGGCACAGACTACACAGTGTCTGACTAGTGGCCCATAGAACTGTCAAAGTCATTTACAAACAAGGAAGTCCCCGTAAGAGAAGACGTGACCACTAGGTGTGTTGTGATGCCCTAGCTGGGACCCTAAAGGGCCCTAAGATAGGGACAACTAAGGAATCTGAGCAAACATTTTTCTGTCCATCAAAATGTTTGTCATCTGGTGGTGGTGCACGCCTTTAATTCCAGAACTAGGGAGGCAGAGGCAGGTGAATCTCTGAGTTCAAGGCCAGGCTGGTCTATAGATCGAATTCCAGGAAAGCCAGGGCTACACAGAGAAATCCTGTCTAGAAAACACAACAAAATAAACACCCCCAAAACAAACAAACAAAAAATACCCCCCACAAATGTTTATTTTGTGTGTTTATGCTGGAACCACTCTCTCTTTTTTCATTTGTAAGACTTTATTATTGACTGGAGAGATGTCTCAGATGGCCAAGTGCATGCCTTGCAAGCATCAGGACTTGAGTTTAGTCCCCAGGACCCAAGTAAGAAAGAACAGCTGGGCATGGTGGTGCATGCTTGCAATCCCAGCATTGGGAAGGAGGGGACAGAGAAGTTCCCTGGGTCTCACTGGCTAGCTAGCCTAGCTTGCTTGCTGAGTTCCAGGCTGGTGAGAGACTCTGCCTTAAAAAAAAAAGTAGATGTCTGAAGAAGAACACCCAGGGGTGCCCTCTGGCCTCCACATGCATGCACAGACATGCACAGATGTGTGTGCACACATGACTGTTTCCTCTTGTCTTTCACCTGTCCTGATGGCATGAGGGAACTATAGCTGGCCTCCAGGTACAGACATGCTGAGCTCAGCCACTGCTCTGGGTATAGGCTCTTTCCAGACCACAGATATTAGTCAGGTTAAAAAGTGTTTCTTGTGTGTGAGGGTGGTGGTAAAATAGCTTTCAAAATGATGGTAAATAGACATACCACTAACTTTTCAAGTGAGCCCATTCCCATCACTATCTGACCCTCAGCACTATTCATTTCTGGAGCATTCCCACCTCACTATTGACTCCTTCCCCCGGTAATTAGTATTATTTTGTATTCATATTTCTGTGGAGGGCATCTCTAGATAAAATAAACCAATACATGTAAACATTTTAAATTAAGAAATGGAGGGGGGTGGAAGGAAGGCGGAAGAGGAGACAGGGTTTTTTAAAGGTAGACCAATTCTCTATCCTGCCAGTTTTCCTTGGTTTATCCACGGATGGACCCTTGGATTGCTGCTTGACCACTCTGCAAGCTTTCAGCTTGGGGGGTATAAACTCAGAAGTGGGGGTGCTGGGTCATGTGGCCAGTCATAGACTGATTAAGGACTGCCGAATTCTCCGACATCCTCAGAAATACTATTTTCTTTCAATGGCGGCCAGCTCCGTGGGTGTGTCGGTCTCTGCATGGGCAATAAAAATAAGAACTTGGAGCAGTGTGTGGCGAATGGACTGAGCGTGGCATTCTGCCTTGCTTGGTGTCTTCACAGGACCTCAGCCAGCCTGGGATCCTGAGGGATGAGGGGGGCCTTTCATCCTTGGCGGGGGAAGGGACACAATGGTGTTCCAAAGCCTGTCTTCTTCAGCTCACTCTCAGTTCATTATAAAGCGTTTCCGCCCGCTAGTGGGTTTCAGGATCATGTTCTTCCGCCTTAATGAAGCTAACCCTCACATTATTATCAAGGGATCTCATAAAAGAAAAATCTGTGACAGCATCACACATAGGAGAGAAAACGAATAATGTGAACCACAGGAAATGAGGAGTGACAGTTCCTGTGGCCCTCACTAGAGCCCCTTATTTGTCATAAAAACAAGTGCAAGCTGACATGTTGGTCCAAACAAAGGACAGAAGCCCTCTCCAAAGCACGTGTCCTGCGGAAGTGCCATGAATCCTAACACTTGACCTCCAGGGCAGAGAGCGTGAAGTGTCCATTGTACCCTGTGTCACCCTGACACCAGCTAACGATCAGGACTGCATGACAAACATTTGATTAGTGGGGCACATGATCAAAAATATTTGGAGACAGTGATTGGGTAGAGGGTCCCTGTCATTCATTCCTGGATCTTCCTGGCGAGACTGACTTAACAGTTTGGAAGAATCACAGAAAAGATACTGGGAGTGGGCTCGGTTAAGCATCGTCTATGGAGGACAGAACTTGACATTGCTCAGACAGAGTCACTTCTAACTAGGACCCCAAGCTTTCTCATGACAGGAATGAGGGTGTGGACAGTCCTCAGGGGTTCCCTGGGCTTCTCTCTGTATGTCTCTTGACACTGCTTCCTGCAGCTTCTTCTACTTAATTGTGTCCTTGTGGACTTTAGTTGTCTCCTGTGTAGGATGGGGCTGGTGACTACTCTTCATGAGGCTGTGGGAGATGCCTAGCAAAGCGCCAAGGGTCTTCCAGGGGCAGCCTAGGGATGGTGACCACACTATTTGTTAATAGAGAAAGATGGGCCTTTATACGATTGTAAAAATGGATATTAGCCCTGATTCTATGCTCAGGACTGGCAATGCCTGTGTGTTTCCATTTCCACCCACGGCTTCAGGGAACAGCCACGATCCTATCTCGTTTTACTGATCCGATCTCAGAGGAGTTCTGATGGGGAAAGGTCCTTCTGTGTATATGTTTGTCATATTGGTTGATGAGTAAAGCACTGTTGGCCAATAGGGAAGCAAAATAGGTGGGACTAGGAGGATTCTGGGAGATGTAGTCAAGAGTGGGAGTCACCATGTGATCTCAGGAGGAGAGGACACATGAGCCTGGCATTCTCGGTAAGATAAGACCTTATAGGAATATATATATATATATATATATTCCTACATATATATATATGTAGTCATGGGTTAATACTTGAGCCAGAACTAGCCAATGATAAGCCCTGGACATCGGCCGACAGCATTGTAACAGAGTCTCTGTGTGTTGTTTGGGATTGACACGACTCTGGGACCAGCCTGGCGGGAAGAATCTCGTTACAGAATTCAGTTTCAGTAGTCTTTGTAAAGTCCTCTTCAGGACTGCATCACACATCACTAATGGCTCTCCTGTATTTCAGCTCCTCCTTCTCCAGTACTCTTTTTATTTCATGTCTTCAGTGCGGGGAATGGAACCCAAGACTTTGTACGTGCTAGGCTAGACAAGCTGCTCCAACATTCAGCCCTGCCTTGTTCTTGTCTCTTTAATGCTTCTTTCCATCTACGTGGTGGTGAGCTCTCCCCAGCCTCCAGCTGGGATAATGTGGGAACCCAGCCAGGGCCTCAGTGATACCTGACAGCCTTCAGGTCGTTCCTTTTCCCCTAGGGGATAGGGGACCCCGTGATCACTCCGCTCTGTCACTCCCATTTGGAGAGCCAAGCAGCCAAGACGATCGCTGGATTATTTGACTCATGCACAGTGATCACATGACAAGTGGGGGAAAGATGAATGGAGAGAAGGGAGGGAGACAAGGGGGAAGGGAAGGAGAGGTAAGAATTGTCCAAAGGGAGGAATGAAGGAAGGAAAGAGAAAGAGGGAAGAGGGAGAGAAAGGAAGCAGGGAGGAGGATCTTTGTATACCCCCAAACTGTGTAGTTCCTGCTCCAAAACATTCTTTTACTGTGTAACCTTCTACTAACCCTCCAAGATCCAAGCAGTATCTTCCTGCAGGAGACCCTCCAACTGTACAGCCTTGCCTACCCTTCCTGGGAACCCCGCCAGGGGCACTTGTGACTATGTTGCAGTCAGGGAAGTCAAGGGTTGGGAGATTCCAACCCTTGTCTAGATGTCCGTCATCCTTAGAGAAGATTGGCACCGACTGACAGATCACCCATCTCCCTCTGAGTTCCACCTCCGCAGAGCCCAGAGAAGGACCTGGGATCTGTGGGCAGCCCATCTTACCCAGAAGGCATACTGTTGGCTGCCCAGAAATGCCAGGCAAAGAGTTCAGGAAGGGCATAGGCAGAAACTAAAGCACTAATGGGGCCTTGCGTTCCTGGTTGAACTCACAACAGTGAGCTCACACTTCTAAGATCACAGGATTCTTCTAATCCACCTATTCCTCCTCCCCCTAGAAGGAGGATGCCCACAATCCTTCACTGTGACTTCCTCCTCCTCCCTCCCCGTCCTCCAGCCTCTCCTTCCCCTCTCCTCCTTTGGCCTTCCCTCCCTCCTATCCTTCTCCCCCTCATTCCTTCTTTGTTTCCTCCTTCTCCTCCTTCCTCTCTAAAAACATCCACCACCTTTGCTGCTGCTCAGATCTTGTCTCTGCAATGACCTCTCTGCTAATGCCAAGCACACAGAGCCAAGGGACCAGCTCCCCCTCCCCTACTTCAAATGGACCCAGAGACATCCCTACCCCACTTCTACCCGTCCTCCACTTGCTTATGAGGTAGTTCTTTGCTTCCTGACCACAGTCTTCCCATGGTTCCCTATTGTCCTAGAGAAGTCCACACCAGACTCAGCATTCCACGCAACATCTGCAGTCTTCTCAAGTTTCAATTTCCATCCTTCCTGGGGTGGAGTGTCCCTGCTGTTCTGTCGGTAGAGATGATGAGGGACTCCTCAGATTGCACCGGACAGTTGGTGCTTGGATTAGCACCAGGGGTGCTAGCTGATTTGTCTTGTGACATGCACCTGTCAGCTGCTGGGAGCAGCATGTCGTACCAGTTTCCCAAAGGCCTCGGGCGCTTGCGCTCCCATCTGCTATCCTAGCTACCACGCTGGCCTGTGTGTTCCCAGCCTCTCCCCCTGGCTCATCCTAGTCCACAGCCCTTGGCTCTGCAAACACGGCTCGGTCAGATGTGTCTCCCCAGGGAGCCCCGTTTCAGCAGGGCAGGGTTGAGGCCCAGAGAAGACCCTGAGCACAGTGTCCAAGCTTAGGCAGGTCTTCTTGCTGTGTGTTGCAGGAACTCTCCAAGCTGGGCTTAGGGCTGGACACTCACACAGAACTTCGAACTCTGCAGCTGCCTGTGGATTACAGGGAGGTAAAACGGAGGCTCACCACAATCTGGGAGGATTTTCAACCACAAGTAAGTGATGCCTGGAGAAACAGGGGGCCTGGGAGACTGCTCATGTGCCAGGGCGTAGGAGCTTTCTGGGCCTTGTTCTAGGTTTGATTTGAAGGCTGGAGTGCACCTTTCTCCTGGGCCCCATCACCAGTGTGAGGTCCAAGCTTCTGACATAAAATTCTGGGTTCCTATATTAATTATGCTGAAACATGGGGTAGGCAGATCTTACAAGATGACTGGGTAAGAAATGGGCTTTTTTTTTCTTTCCTGAGACAGGGTTTCTCTCTGTAGTCCTGGCTGTCCTTGAACTCAGAGAGACATGCCTGCCTCTCCCTCCCGGGTATAAGAAACGTGAATCTCATTTCAAGCCAGGGCTCAGGGATAGGTCACACCTAAGAGAGAAGATCTGCATTAAGTCCCACTTTATGGCTGTGTTGCCAGCTGTTGTCAGGGATTTAAGCCAGAGAGCTTTCAGGCCTAGGGAAGCTGGTGAGATGACAGTCCACCCAGGGCCAAGCCACCTTCAAAGCACCCTGCCAGGGCCATGGTGTGGTGGTGCCCCACCTCTAATCTCTGGGAGTCTGGGGCAGGTGGATCTCTGTGAGTTTAAGGCCAGCCTGATCTACAGTATGAGTTCAAAACCCCATTTCACACAAATAAAAGCATTCTGCCTACATAGTAACTGAACATAAACATTGTCTAAAAGGGGGATGCAAATATCCATTCCCCCAAAGGTAACAGAATGGAGGCCAAGCACAGCACCCTGTGGTAAGACTCTATCCAAAGGCTGCAGCTATTTTCAAAGGAGGCAAAAGAAAGTCTAGTAAGGTTTGATTAGACTATGGCTAGCCTTCTTTATGAAAGTTACATTAAAAAGATGTGAGATTCTGCTAAAATCCAATTCCCCCCGCCTCCCCCCTCATCCTAGATTCCTGCTTGCTCCTGCCCACCCATGAGGAAAGAGAGCACACAACCTTGTAAGAGCCATTTGAAACAGGGACGTACTTAAATGCCTTCAGTCGATCCAAAGACATGTTCCTTTTGCCCCAGCCCCATTAGTTAGGGAACCAGTCAGGGATCCTGGGGTTGTTTTACACCCTGGGTTCTGTCATGGCTCAACTTTTCTGCACATCTAGTGATCTGGTGTCCCGGGACTTCTGATATGTGTGTTCACACAGCTTGTTGTGCATGTGGGCATGGACACTTCCGCCAAGGCCATCTTTCTGGAACAGTGTGGCAAGAACCGAAGCTATCAGGATACAGACGTCCGAGGCTTCCAGCCTGAGGGTGGAGTGTGCCTCCCTGGTGGCCCAGAAGTGATGCTGTCTGTTATCAGTATGAAGGAAGTCTGCCGGCGTGTTTCTGTTGAGGATGTGGAGGTGGCCTTTTCCCGAGACGCCGGCAGGTACACTTCAGGTGTCCATGTGCCAAACGGATGGGAGACAGGGAATATCCTTCAGAGTCCCTTCTCTCTCCTCAGGATGTTATCCTATGCTGTCCAGGTGGCTGCTTTGGTCACAGGCATCGCCTGAGTTGCATTCTTTGTCACAGGCCCTGCAGATTAATTTAACCTCTTCTCCAAACACTGACAGCCCTTCCCAGTAAACATTTTGTCCTCTCTTCAAGGGCTAAAGAAATGCCTGAGTGAAGACGCAAGCGAGAGAGCCACTGTGGTTAAAGGTGCTTTAGTATGAGTTGTTTGAAAGCTTGGTTCAATTCTGCCCTGACCGCTTGCTGGCCGTTAGACTGTGAGACCAAGACCCAATGTCTGTCTGGTATGTTCTTAGCCCTGTGTCCTTTCTCTGGCAGAAGGACCAAACTCAAGTGGTAGTTCCCTCATGCTTTTTTTTTTAAAGATTTATTTATTTATTTAAAACATATACAGTGTTCTGCCTACATACCAGAAGAGGGCACCAGATTGAATTGTAGATGGATGTGAGCCACCATGTGGTTGCTGGGAACTGAACCCAGGACATCTGGAAGAGCAGTCAGTGCTCTTAACCTCTGAACCATCTCTCCAGCCCTCCCTCGTGCTTTATGAACACTGCATTTGCCGTTGTCTGGAAGTGACAGGGTCCAGGAGTAATGGGGAGTTTCCTGTGGTTGCAGGTACATCTGCGACTACACCTACTACCTGTCTCTGTACCTTGGAAATGGGCACGCAGCACTCATCCATGTCCCCCCGCTGTCACACTGTCTCCCAGCCAGTCTCCTGGGCAGAGCCTTGCAAGTTATCATTCAAGAGATGCTGGAAGAAGGTGGGGGAGTCCAGACTCAACAGCGTAGCAGCGGAAGGGAAGCAGCAGGGGGATGCCGCCTTTAGATGAAATGAAGCGTTTGGACCCTAGGTGGGGACAAGCCAGCTGTGCTGGGAGAGACTCTGAAAGAGTGGCTTGTGAAACAATTCACATGGCTAGGGGTCGTGGTGGGGGGAATCATACCACAGAATGACAGTTATTTTTGTGTTCAAAGCAAAACAAAAACTCCCAAAGGCTTCCCAAGGGATTGATTGGAGCTATGGCTTTCAGGACAATTGTATTGCAAGCCAGTAGTTTCTCTTCCAAGGCGGTGTGGTCCTTCCCGGATTGGGGACATCAGAGCTGCTTCAGAGGTTCAAGAAATGGAGATGTAGTCCTGGCTCCAGGGACCCCAATTCTGGTCCCTAAGCTTGTCATCATTCAGGTCCTCTGAATGGCTCTGGTGCCACCCAGTCTCTAGTGTTTCGCTTTCTCCTCTCTCTGTCTGTCTCTCTGTCTCTGTCTCTGTCTCTCTGTCTCTCTGTCTCTGTCTCTGTCTCTCTGTCTCTCTCTCTGTCTGTCTGTCTCTCTCTCTCTGTACCACTCTCTCATCATTTTAGCAACTTTTGTTTGTGTATTTTTCGAGACAGGGTTTCTCTGTAGCTTTGGAGGCTATCCTGGAACTAGCTCCTGTAGACCAGGCTGGTCTCGAACTCACAGAGTGCTGGGATTAAAGGCGTGCGCCACTTAACAACTTCTAAGTGAACAGTTCAGTGGTGTTTATTTCATGCCCAGTGCTGGGCGTTCATCCTCACAGTGCATCTCTAGGACTTTCTCCACAGCCATCTGCCGGGGTTTGACCGTGAAATGCTGCCCAGGCTGGCGTGTCTGAGTCACTTGGTCCCCGGAGGTGGTGGTGTTGTGGAGGGCTGTAGCATCCTGAGGCGGTGGAACCCTGCCTGAGAAAGTGACTTACTGGCAGCCTCCACACTTTGTGGTCCTCCTGCACTTCCTTCCACGCTGGATCCCTGAAAGAAGATGCAGTGTGACCGGCTGCCTCCTACCGCCGCCGTGGCTTCCCTTTGAACCTGTACACCTGTACCAGAACAACACCCTCCCTCCTTAAATTGTTCCAGCACCTTGCCACAGGAAAGGTAGCGACTACACCATTATGCAACAGTCCCCTATGGTCTCTCTTCCTCAGCCTTTGGCAAGCACCGCTATACCCTCCATCTCCACGACCTGCAGGAGTCATGAACCCAATGTAAGGGGAGCCTTATGTTACCTGCGTCTCTAGTTCATCTATGTGGTAGCACAGAACAGGATCTCATCGCTTTGTAAGACTGAACAGTATGCCGCTGTATGAGTACCGCACACTTGTTCCCCCCCCCCCATCTATAAACAGTCACTTAACAAATGCTGCTCTGAACTCTGATGTCTGAGTATCTGCCCCAGTCCCTGATCTTCAACTCTTTTTTTCCGTCTATATCCAGATGTGGTGGTTTGAATAAAGATGGCCCCCACAGACTCATAGGGAGCAGCATTATTGGAGGTGTGACTGAAATGACCAGTCCCCCCCCCCCCACATTTTAGCAGCCATTACCGGCTAACATGTGCTCATCTGACCTTGCTGCTCCTGTCCTGGTCACTAAGGTCAGATGCCCTCCTTGTGGCAAGGAACCAATCAGAAGTTAGCTGGTGGGGCTGTGCTTTACAGCTCTGGGTGTGCTTTATGGACAAGTGAACAACAATGAGGTGCAGAGCATAGCAACCGCCCTGGGAGGGCCTATGGGCCATAACAACCAGTTGACCAATCAACACAGGGCAGGTCGTCCAAGCCTGAAAGTGCACCAGTCCCAAGACTGTTGCATACCCCTAGACACTCCCCTTACACTGCCCTATAAGATCCCTGCCTCATGGTTTCTCAGGGTCTTTCTCCAGCCATTCACTGTGGTGAATGGATGAAGGGCCTGAGCTCGTTAAACAACTACAATAAAAGACTCTCTGTTTTTGCATCGAAATGGGCCTCTTGGTGATTTTGGGGTTCAGAATTTGGGCACCACAGTGACCTTGTGGGAGTAGTTGTAGACTTGTTGGAAGAAGTGTGCCACTGTGGGTGGTCTTTGAGATTTCGGGAGCTCAAGCCAGACCTAGTGGCTCCCTGTGTCTTCCTGCTGCCTGCAGAACCGAATGTTTAGTACTCTCAGCCACCTCTCCGGCACCACGTCTGCCTACAGGCCACCATGCTTCCTGCCATGATGACAACGGGCTAAACCTCTGAACTGTAAGCCAGCCCCAATTAAATGCTTTCCTTTTTAAGAGTTGCCAGCGGCTCTTCACAGAAATAAAACCCTACCTAAGCCACCAGAGGTGAGTGGCACCTGGGGATTCTGTGTAGCTTTGTGAGGGAGTGCTGTGCTGTTTTCTGCAGCGGCTGTGCTGGTTCCTCCCCACTGGGTGGGTTTGCTCAGAACACTGGCTCGGGGTGGGCTTGGTCTTCTGTATCCTCAGCATTGTCAGGACTCATGAGGACGGCTCCTCTTCATCTTGCCTCAAGTCAGAGAGTTCAGAACTGCCCTTAGTTAAGTTAAAAGGCCCTAAGGTGGGGCCTGGAGGGATGACTCAGAGGTTAAGAGCACTGGCTGCTCTTCCAGAGGTCCTGAGTTCAATTCCAAGCAACCACATGGTGGCTCACAACCATCTGTAATGCGATCTGGTGCCCTCTTCTGTCCTGCAGGCAGACATGCAGACAGAACACTGTATACATAATAAATGAATAAATCTAAAAAAAAAAAGGCCTAAAGTTCCAAGGCTTAGGTACTGCAGGATGTTTTGGTCTTGGTAGTGGATGTCTTATCTAAATAACAACAACAGACTTGGGCTCAGGTGTTTACTCTTGACTCTGAAGGCCAGGTGTGGTTACCAAATGTTTAGAGGATTAAGGTAAGAAAGTTTGTTTGCTCCTCATACATGATAATACAAGTCTTCTGCCATGTCCCCCCTTTTGGTTGGGGTACATGAGAATGTCAAAGAATAAACTTGGGGCATTCACGGATTTGCCCTCCTGACTCTATCCTGTGTCTCTGTCTTCTTTGCATCTTTATCTGCCCCTTCTCAATCCACACTCCCCCTCTCAGGTACGAACCGAAGAGTTGGCTGGATCCCACTGAAGGCCCACAAACAGGGGCTCCCACACAGCATTACCCTTACTTTAAAAACATCAGAATCCTCTTGTCTTAGTCACTTTTCTATTGCTGTGATAAGACACCATGACCAAAGCAACTTATAGAAAAAAGCTTTCATAGGGGGTTTACAGTTCCACAGGGTCAGAGTCCATGACCATTATGGTGGTGAGCATGGCAGCAGGCAGGTTCGAATAGTGCTGGAGTGGTGGCTGAGAGCTTACATGTCACCCACAAGCACAAGGCAGAGAGAAAAGGCGGGGGTGGGGGTCGGGGGAGAGGAGAGATAGATTCTGGGGACGGCATATGCTTTTGAAACCTCAAAGTTCATCCATAATGACACATCTCCTCTAACAAGGCCACACCTCCTAATCCTTCCCAAATAGTTCCACCAACCAAGGACCAAGTATTCAAATATATGAACTGATGGGGCCATTCTCATGCAAATGGCCACACTCCTGTTTCACCTGTTGTCTTCATTTTAGGACACTGCACCAGGCTTTTGTGCCAGGCTGTGTACAGCAAAGCTCTCTATGTCTACTATGTCAGTGTCTTTGGGTACTCATTTTCATTATGAGCCCCATAGGTAGCACTGTTTCCTCCAAGGAATCGGATCAAAGTAGCTACTAAACACTGGGCAACTTGTTATGTTGGTATGTTCAAAACCACTGTTTGCAACTGGGTAGCAGTGGTGCACACCTTTAGTCTCAGCACTCGGGAGGCAGAGGCAGGTGGGTCTCTTTGGGCCAGCCTGGTCTACAGAGCCAGTTCCAGGACAGGCTCCAAAGCTAGAGAAGCCTTGTCTCTAAAAACAAAGCAAACCATTGTTTGGTACCTATGTCTGAAAAGAAAAAAAAATCACAGTGGCTTGCTGTAAGAAAATGCATTTGTAGCCAATAGGCTGAGTTGGGGGTGCAGTTCAGTGGCAGTGTGCTGCGTGAGCCCCAGTCTTCATGTGTTCCAGGACAGCTGGGGAAAAGGAAGCTGGGCAGAAGAACAGGAGAGAGGAGGAAGATAGGGAGGAAGGGCAGAGGGGAGGGGGGAAGGGAGAGAGAATATGAATGCGCAGGGCCCTGGGTTCAATAACCAGCACTACAAGAGCCCTGCATCAAAGCCAAAGGAACTGAATAGCTCTCATCTCCCCCATCTCCCCCAGACAGGTTTCTTTGTGCAACTCTGGATGTCCTGGAACTCACTATGTTGACCGGCTTGGCCTCAAACTCATAGAGATCCACCTGCCTCTGCCTCCCGAGTGCTGCTCTCTCATTTCTCTTGCTGCTAGTTTGAAGAAAAGACTTTACAAGACTGTGCAAATAAACCAGGAACATTCCACATATGACAGGTCCAAGTCACACCAAAGCAGATGAGAGCCAGAGGTGGATGGGATGGTTCAGGCCACTTGCACAGGGCCTAGCTGCTTGGCTGGTCCTATGGAGACCCTTCCCTTTTGTGAGCAAAGAGCTTCTGCCTAAAGCCTTACACCCCTCTTGTTCTGGGAGTGGGCTCCAGTGTTATTTCAGATCAGTTGGCACGGGCCAGACACATTAAAAAACATTGTGGGTTTTTTTGTTTTTTCAAAGATACCTAGTTAGGAGGCCCAGAACTCTCCATTGATGACCAGCCCTCCTATTTCCTCTTCCGTACCCGACCCCAGGGACCCATTTGCATTGTGGCTTTTGTAAATGACCTGGCATCCCCTGGCAATACACAGTGTCCTGTTCAGTTATGGCTTTTGTATGTTTGATGTTTTTTATGTGGGTGGTTTTGTATGTTTGATAGCCGTAGTGTACAAGATTGGTCTGCATTGGTCATTAACAGCTGGGTGGTTTGGAGCATGAGTGTTTGCCTATAAACTAGACTAATAAAAAGTTCTGCCTCTGCAGGTTGATTGTGAATACCCAGAAAACGGGTGGACGAGAAAATGTCAACAACTCACTAGTAAAAAAAAATGCTCTGGGTGTGGCCCTCAGTTTGTGGCTTGGATATAGTTTTAAGGTGGTTTCTCAAGGGTTCATGTGTGGAAAGCTTGGCCCCCAGCATGCAAGGGTAAAGGAAAGGCAGCACCTTTAAGTGGTGGAGTTGGTGGGAAGCCCTTAGGCCAGTTGCCCTGGGAAGTTAAATATTCTTGAGGGAATCTTGTGTTGTCTCAGGTGTTGAAAGAGCCTGCTGGCCTCTGAACTGTTCTGACTTCCGTTTGCCATCAGCTGGGGACTTCACCAGAGAGCAGCCAATGTTAGCCAGCACTGTGCTCTCAAATCTTCCGTAAAGCAGAACTCTTTTCTTTAGAAGTGGACCTTTAAATATGGAACCCGCTGAACACAGAACTCAGAAGGGAGGGAGAGGGCCTGACTTTTAATAGCCCACCGCCTTCATCCTTAGAAGTGGCTGCCTCTGGTCAGGCAGGCTTATCATAAAGCACAGAATGGCAAGCTGGAGGCAGAGTCTGTGGGACACCCAGGGAAATTCGACCTCCGTAATCATCTAGTGAAGCTCCCTGAGCACTCGGTGAGCAGAGACTCCCAGACAGTGCCAGACTGTTCCAGGATGTGCTCTTTCAGAATGACCTTTTCCATGTAAAATCAAATACCCATTAGACTCTCGAGGTCTTGAGGCACCGTGACCTTTGCTCCTACTGCCCATGTCTTCCCATTTAGTACTTTGTCTGGTGTCCACCTTTTTGTTGGTTTGTTTCTCGAGACAGGGTTTCTGTGTGGTTTTGGAGGCTGTCCTGGAACTAGCTTCTGTAGACCAGGCTAATCTCGAACTCACAGAGATCCATCTGCCTCTGCCTCCCGAGTGCCAAAGACATGGAAATGCATGCATGTAAGTCTTTGCCCTACCTCCAACACACATATCAAACCCACCGTGGCCACTGTCAATGGAAGAAGGTCTAGAAGAGCCTACAAACCATTACTGCCAACTGTGCTTTGTGCACTCTACTGTTCTGTGGGAACAAGAAACCTTGGCCAGAGGCCCACTTCCCCGTCAGCCTGGGAGCAGGCAGCTGTAACCGGTAGAAAACATGTTTACCAAAAAACAATGCGGAACAATAAGTTCCTGGTGTTTTCAGAAGGGCTTGCCCAGGGGAACACCCTGACCTTGACCATTCCAACGACTAACCGCCTCTTCCTGACCCCCTACCGCTGCCTCTAAAGTCGGGGCATATAACCAGCTGGGGTAAGAATAAAGCGGGGCCTTCTTGAAGCCTTCTTTCACCACCGACTGGTCTCTGTCATCAATCCCGACACCCTCTGCACATTCTCGGCCAGGCTCCGCAGTGGGCGCGCATTCTCCTAGCTGATTTACTGGGGAGGCAGTTAGCTTCTCCAAGCTCAACATCAACTTGCATTCAGACAAGCTCAACTGTCAGGGCCCTGCTTTCACACTGAGTATTTCCGAGTGACACGTGTGAACACACATGCCAGGGGAAGTTCGGCTTCCCGATGAAGTGGGGGATGGTTCCAGAGCAGGGGGAAACAAACTCGGGAGACAAAGGTGCATACAGAATTCTTTTATTTAACTTAACCCATGTGGTACTTTACCTACTAGAAAAAAGCAGAGTAATAGAAACTCAGGTGGCCTTAGCGTCAGCCATTCAAAATAGACAAAGTTTCTTTTTCATAATGTAAAGAATCCCGAGTATGTCGCAGTAACAGGAATAAATTCTTACAACAGAATATACAAAAACATTGAATTTTTTTCATCTATTGATTTTTTAAAATATAAACAGAGGGTTTTTTAAAGGAATAATTTATACACAGAAAATTATTTTATGTAACAAATTGGCCATATTGATATCTTTTTAAAACTTTTTTTCTTTTTTAAGAAAAATTTTTAACAAGAAAACTCAGAAATGCATTATTGGCGGTGCATCTGTTCCCTCATACCTTCTGATTTTATTTTGTTTTTTAAATCCCAGAGGTAGACAAACCCTGGCAAACCTCTCCCCCAACCTCACTGGTTTAGGAAGCAGACAGATGATGTCACAGGCAGGCATCTGTCCCACCCGTGTCTGCCACAATGCCCAACATCCATGAGAAAGTCAAAAGCCAAATCCAGTGCAACCCAACCCACAAATAGTTCCTAGACCTTCCCCCTGTAGAGTTAGACAATTCAAGATGCTTTCAGCAACGGTATCTTCTGGAACTCTATAGAGACATGGCCAATAATGCACTGGGAGTCGAAGGACATGAATTTTAACTCTTAAAAAAATTGGGGGGGGACCATGTTGTGGTTTTTGTTGAGAGTTTGTTCTGTACTGGAAAAATGTACCTTCAGTGTTCGGCCTTACACACAAGTAGGCACAGCCTTCACTGGGATCTGAGGCATGTACATATGCATGCCAATGGCTCGCACACTAGGATTGTTTGCGTGGTCACCTTGAAGCCATTCTGTGTCTTGAGACCCTCCCACCTCTATGACACTGCAGAACTAGGATAAACACCAGCCACATGAGCCAGATGCCACCAGTGAACACCAACCCACACTGCTGGGTGGCAACACATTGCTATTTCCATGGCCAGCAAGGGGCTTGGCACACTCCACAGGGAAATGATCAGTAAAAGGTGACTGCTTCCCCAGCTAAAGGTTCCAAGACCAAGATACTGAAGAATACAGAAGTACTTTTAAAACCACTGTCATTCCTTTTTTTTTTTTTCTTTTTTTTTCTTTTACAAACTAGAGCACATAGCATTTGGGAAAGGGAGTGAACCACGGCTTGGATCTGGAGGATGGGGCGGGGAATATTTTTTTTTTAGTTTTTTATTTTTTTGGTTTTTTTATTTTGGCATATTGTAAAGCTAGCTAGTAAACAAGTGTCAAAAAAAAAAAGAACACAAACACATATTTGCACACACAGAGGGGGAAAAGTGTTTTTAAATTACTTCCGGCAATTATAAACTACAAACATTTTATAAAATTATTCTATGTTCTTACAAAAATGCAATGAAACATTTAATTAGTTCTTGTAAACCAGATCTTCGTCAACTGACTACCCGTAATCTACTGGACTTAGAAGCCCGATTGGAAACGATAATGAGTGACTAATTAAAAAAAAAAACAATGTTTACTGGAAAGATGCAGACACAAATGTGGACACACAAATCAGTGATTATGAAGCTCTCACATAAACAAAACAAAATAAATCCTTAGCATGCCCCAGACAACTCAGCTGGTGAGTGTGATGGAGTCTGAGTTCTCCAACACGTGACTTAGCTCTGTGAGTTCCCAGAGCACGATGCTAAGTTTATTATCTGAAACCAAATGCCCACGATGACTCCACAGCCTTGACGTGGTCTCACACATTCAGAAACCATCACATCCAAAAGTGGTCCTGGCTTCTTCTGAGCCCTTATGCCTCTGTCCCCAATCCTCTTCATGTCACCATCCCCGTCACCATGGCTTCCTACTGCATGGTCATCCCATTATCCATCAAGGAGTTTGCTTCTCTCAATAACCATCCGGATGTCAAAGTTGAAGGCCCAAAGAAGCCCCCTGACCTGTCCAAGGCCTCTATCTTCAGCACCTCTGGCAAGAGAGGTTCACTTTAAACAAACATCCTGTCTTGAAGTTCTCATTTGTACCACCACCTAGTTCAGAGCCGAGTGAGAAAGTTTGACCATCATCACTGGTTCGTTAAGGAGTGGATCTCTCTGGTCCAGGTCTCCCAATGTGCTGCTTAGCCCAGGAAATGAAAAGACATCAGACAAATACAAAGGTAACATAAGAAAAAAAAAAACCCAAACCATAAATTCATTACTGTTAAAATGGGCCAAAGCATATCAACAGGGTGGTATTGTCGCATGCAGGATGCCAACGTTTAGGAACAGCGTTGCCTTCACCTGTGTGGCCACTCTCGGAGGACCCAACGATGGTAACAGGGGTAAGCATCCTAGCCTTCTTACCCACCTGAGCTTGGTGAGACCTTGCCACATCAGCCTGCTTGCCTCAGGGACAGCCACTGCTGACAGAGGTGCGCTGCTAAGGAAGAGGCTTCAGGAGCTCACACTGGCTCAGAACTTGGCATCATACAGAGCTCATCCGTCTGTTAGCCCATCCAAGAAATACTACTGCATTCCAAACACTCTGCCATCTGCTCATATCACAACGATCGCCTGTCTCTCTTAGGAAGCTGCTTTTCCTACCATTGAATTGTCCCGAGTCATAAGAAACAGGCTGGAAGGAGGGGCCAACGATGGCCTTCAACAGTCTGTGTTCCAGGGAGGAAGCCTCATTCCAACTAAGAATCAACGTCATGACATTCCTGAAAGGAGATGGGGTTGTGTGGGTGTCACACAGCTCAGGTTCGGACTGTGCCTCCACAACTCAGCGCCTGCTGCCTCAAGGAAGGGCTGTGTGGGAGAACACCTTCATGTTCACATCCCCCGAACGATGTGCCTCAGTGGTTCATGTTTCATGTTTTCAAGCAGTGCGGGCTGCCGCCAGGGAAGGAGGTTGCATGGAAAAGGCCACAGCTCAGCTTGGTAAGATTACTTGGAGCATATAAAGAGAAAAATCAGGAAGAGGTGGGAAAAATCAGCATGAAATCAGGCTAGAACTGTGGACACATGATGCCTTGCAATAGTCAAGGTGGGTGGGTTGGTCCAGCGAAAACGACCGCACCCTCATACAAGAAAACTTCTCTTTTATTGAAGTGTTTCTGGAGCATTTGTTATGATGGGCACTACACTGTTAGGTGTTTTCTCTCTACTTAAAGAAAAAAATCTACATCAAACAACACCAACAACTTGGACAATTAAAAAAAAAAACCCTTAAAACCAGCTGAATTGTCTGTAGAAATCCAGTTGTGGAAAACCGGTAGGTATGTGCAAGAGAGGAGAGGCCACAATACCATGGGATCACCTAGAGTAGAAAACCCTGATCAAACGGTGTCTCCCAGGGACCCTGTGAGCTCCTAGGAACTCCGAGAAGGGCAGCGTTCTGGCAGGAGGCAAAGGACTCCTGAGCTTAACTCGTCAACTGTTAGGCAGTTCTCTACACCGGGAAAAGTCACCCATGCTTCCCAACGAAAGTCCCCAGGGCCTGTGAGAGCAGCTGCTGGAACTGAGGAGTGCACTGTCCACCCCCGTGAGCAGCAAAGGGATGGGATGGACAGAGGCAAAGCACAGGGAAGGCTGGGAGCCGACCACTGGCTGTCCAGCCTCAAGGAGGTTTGGTCAGTCCTTGCTTAGCCCTGGGGGGAGGGAGCACAGCAGCCTGCAGGGGGTGCGGGCTGTGCCCGGCCCTCCCTTTATCATACTGGCCTTCTTTCAGAAGCAGGGTGAGGGCAGGGCTCTGCAGCTGCCAACATGGTTGTACCTCTAAGAGAAACCAATGCAGGACAGCAATGGGGCCACGCCCCTGCCACAGTGGAGGCCTCAGCGGAGCAGCAGAGCCAGCCAACAGGTGACCCTACGTGCACACACATTAGGACTTTCAGACAACCTGTGTGTGGACGCCTCCTGCCCTCAAAACCTGGGAGTTATCTTCTCTCTTGGGGGCGATATATGTCGGTCATTCGATCTGTATAAAGAAAGTTCTGTTCCAAAGTCAGCCGGGTGAGGACGGGCAAGGGACCCCCCCTCCACTGGTGTACTCTAGGCTCATGGGGGTGTTGGGTTGGAAGCAGGGAAACCTCTGAGGGAACCAGGTGAGGAAAACAAAACAAAATAAAAAAACAAAGATGCCCGGGAAAGGTGAGCTTTTGGAGACGAGTGGGGGAGGCTGAGAGAGTTAGTGTTGCTTTGACCCCAGAATCCAGCCTGGCCTCTCTCTGCTTCACCAGGGTATGTGGCCTGTGGTGTGGATGAGGTTACCAGTATCATTGGCCTATTGTCAGGTTCTGAGAAGTGTGAGATGTATTTTTTAATATATATATATATATATATACACATGAAAAATAAGAGTGAGGTAGATAAATGTTTGAAAAACAACACTCCCCAAAGCAAAAACTGTCCCGTCTAACACCTAACACACACACACACACACACACACACACACACACACACACACACACACACCCTTTTTCCTCAGTATTTAAATTCATAAAGGGGGCTTCTCTACAGTGATTAAAACAGGTATCACGAAATAAATTAAAACTCCTACATGTAATACCTTCTTAATAAACATTTTTTCTCCTCTTTTTGCCTCTCTTTTTGTCAAGGGGAAACACTGTGGGGCTAGTTAAGAGCCATGAACCTTAAACTACAGATAAGCCAGAGAACTGCAACCTTTCCTGTGTTTAATCCCCAGTCACAACTGCAATCATCATCTTCCAGCTTTTTTTCTTACTCATACATTAATTATTTCCAGCCCAGAAGCAACTCTCCGCTGTCACCACTCTGGTAAAAATTGTTAAAAACTAAACAAAACAAATTCCAACTAAGGACCGGCAAAGGACTCCGGGGCTACCGTGGGATCACCTCTGCTCTGCCTGACACTCAGGCCTTCTGACCTGGGAGTGGTCTCCAGAATTCTACTGAGGCTGCTGCTTCTGGCCATGGGGTATTGGTACCCTGCACCTTGCTCACCTGGAAGTCACCCATTCAGACATTCTGGTTCAAGACAGGCAGGCTGGCCTGGTGAGGGTCAGGGTGACGGCAGACGGGCCACTAGGGGACTCAGCAGCTGTGTGTGTGTGTGTAGGATTAAGTACCCATAAAAAGTAACTCAAATACCTACTGTCTGCAGTTAAAACTGCTATTGTATCCCAAAATGAATGTGTGTGTGTGTGTGTGTGTGTGTGTGTGTGTGTGTGTGTGTGAGAGAGAGAGAGAGACAACCAAAACCAAAACAAAGAGGGAAGGCCAAGGTGTGACTTTCAACAATGGGGACTATAAAACTAAGCCAGGATGTGTGAGATTTTTAACCTCTTTTTGTTTCTGACCTGAGTTTGTGGCATGTCTTGCAGGCTAACAGACACTCACTCCAGTGCTGTGTGCAGGGAGGTGTGGGGATGAGGGCAGGGCCCAGCAGTACCCGGGTCCTGGCCACCCATCCTCCTCAGTCCCTGAGCAGCACTGCGCCCACAGAGCCTATCGGTTAGAAGATAATGAATGGGGTTGCAGGGAGTGGGGGAAGGGAGATGTATTTATTAAAAAAGGCATCAAACAGTTCATGGCAAATTATGTTCTAGAAGCATTAGTTACTGGAGAAGAGTAAGGAAAAAAACCACACTCTAGTACAAAGCATAGGAAGTTTCTTGGAGTGAGCAGAAAGGAAGAAGGGGAGACCTGAAAGTTTCATAGATTAAATCCACAGAGATAAAGAACAAAAAAATAGCAGCTTTTTTTTTTCCTGTACAGACGTATAGATGAATATCTGAACCGTAAAAAAGTTATAAAAGTGACATTGAAGACGATGTGTATGCAAATGTTTCATGGTCTAACATAGAACTGAGAGACCCATGAAGAAGTCCTAGTAACAGAGACCATGCCAAAGCTTAGACTACTTGGTTCCACTGCCTGGCGCTGCAGCTGTGGTGTCTCAATCCCTTCCTCGCACGTCTGCACCAACAGCCGGGCAGAGTCCCCGGGACCCTTTCGCATCTGTGTCCCTTGGGGGCCAGGAGGGAGGCTGGGGAAAGGGCAGGAGAGGTCTGAGGAACATCTTGACCCACAACCTGACCTTCAGGCTTGCTCATGGCCACTTGCTCCAGCATTCCTGGGGTGCTGTGGGTGGGTGGGTGGGTGGGGGTGGGGGAGCCAGGTCAGCCTGCCCCTTCTCCAATGAGGGCAGGCTCCATCTTGCTCAGTTCTCCCAAACGGTAACCTAGTCGTCACAGAGCGACGAGACCCAGGGGGATGTGGCCACAAGGGCACGCCGAGACACAGCGGAGGCATCGCCAGCGTGTCTCTGGAGTGATATTATTAACTTGATGCCGAGTTTCACCCTATGCCTCTGGACAAAAGGAGATCAGCGCAGGGAGTGCGCATGAGAAAAAAGAAAAATATAGGGTTTTGGCAAAATCTGGCGGCATGAAAATGGTAACAACTGTGGATGAACAATGGCCCTTTGAAAATTTCAGATGACCCTAAAAAGGTTAAAGATACAGTTAAAAAATTCCATCTCAGTGTGTGCATTTTCTCTCTCTCCTCTCTCTCTTTTTTTGTAAAGACCTATGGTGTCAGGCAGGTGTGTATGGGGTGAGGAGGAGCCCCAGGGACAGCCATTAAGTCAATCTGATTAAAAAAAAAAAAGAAAAAAGAAAAAGAAGGCTTCCCGGCTGGGCTTTCAGCAAACAATTTTTCCATTGTAAAGCAGAAAAAGGAGAAGGAAGAGAGGAAGAGAGGGAGAGGAGAGAGGGAAGGCAGAAGAGAGAGAAAGGTATAGAATGAGGAGACTCAGTTCTCGAGTGTCCTGTTGCTATTAAGTGTTGTCATTAAGGTTTGCAGAGGCCCATGTCAGTTAAGGATTCGGGTAGGGAAATAAAAAGCTGCTTGCATATTGAAAAAAGGGAGGTCCCAAATGTGTTTACTGCAGAGAAGCCGTCTCCCGTGGGCAGCAATGGCAGTTCTGAAGATCCACTGAGGTACAGGAGGCTTGTGAATAGATTGTTACGGCCTGCTCTCCCCCTGCGCACCGAGTGGGCGCACACGTTACTGTTTGCATGTGCTTCCGCGTCTGAGGATCAGCAGGTCGAAGACTGAGGCAGAGGCAGAGCCCTCTCGTTGGCGCGTCCCCCGTTCATGTGAGCGTAAGGCTGTCGCTCATCGAAACTGGCACGGAGGACCAGTACTCCGGGGCCTGGGCCGTTCTCGGCCTTGTGCCCCGAGTGTCTTTCGGGCAGAGGCAGGGAGGCTGAGGAGGCCGAGGGGTCCAGCGGTACGCTCTCCATGTTCTCGGGGTCCAGCTCCAGCTCCAGCTCCAGCTCTTCTGGCTCGGGAGGCTTGTTCTCCTCGCTGTAGTAGAAGGAGACTTCCTGAAAGCTGGGCTCCATCTCATCCTTGATGCTGCCAATGATCTCCAGGAAGGAGGGCCGCATCTTGGGGTTGTACTGCCAGCACATGCGCATGAGTTCAAACCTGATGGGGAGAAGGGAAGCGGGTGAGATGCAAGAGGCCTCGTGCGGAGGTCACAGCGGCCCAGAGGGTTGCGGGACTCTGCCCTCTGCGGCCCTGGCTTCTTATCCCGCCGCCACGTTATCTGGCCCAGCCATGGTGCCAAACCCAAACTCGCCTCACATGGAGTCTACCATGACAGGGCTGTATTGATGGCGGCAATTTTAAGAAATAAAACCACCCGTTTTCTGTCTGAAACACCTCTTCCAGCCATGGTTTCCAGAACCGGAATCGGGAATCCTTCATTCCCCACCAATGAGGATCACAGCTTCCCTGACAGCCATCATTCTCTGCACCCCCACCTAGGATATTTCTAAGCTTCTTCCTGGCACTACGGTGCCCCTGGCAGCGGGCCTGAGGAAGAAGGCGGCACGGGTGCCAGACAGACGGACCACACATCCCAAGCTTGTTAGCTCAAGCCAGCACCTACTTACTACATGTCTCACGAAGCCCGGAAGATCCAGGCTGGCCCCAAGCTGAGTCCCAACAGAAACCTCAGGTCAGAAGCCGACAAGCCAGGGAAAGCACAGAGAACGAGTTTCTTCTACAAGCAAGGCCAAGGTAAGAACATAGGAAGCCCATGTGGCACCCCCTTTTCTCCCGCAGGTCACAGACCTCTGCAAAGTTCCCTGAGTCATGTGGGCTAGCAGCCCCGCATGGCGGAAGAGGAAGGCTTCCAGTCACCAGCCTGAGCAGAAAGGCCTGGGTGTGGAGAGCAGAGGGAGCCCTGAGCAACTGAAGGCCTGAATGAGTGAGGACTGCCTACACGGGCACAGCCAGGGACTCCAATGCCCCATTCCCATGGGAGTGGGAAAGTCTTCCCCAGTGAAGCTTAGAGATGGTAAGCCTTCCCGAGGTCTGAGTGCAAATGCTGACAGTGTGTGCGTTGAAGACGTCTACTCCCACTGGGTACTTACGGCCTGAAGACTGCTTCCTAAGGAGATGAACTAAACCGGTGTCCCTGCTCAGCAGTAGATAACCCTACTTCCTTGTTTATCTGTATGCAACTCCACCTCCCTGTTCAACCACATACAACAAACACACTGAGCTTCCAGAGCCTAGTCCACCCAACCCCAGCATTTCTAAATTCATGTGCTGGTCCTTTCTTCATTCCTCTGATGTCCCTTGTCAAGTCAGGGTTCTGGTACCTATGCTGTGAAGGGTGCTGCCCCCAGGCTTTGACAGATGGACAGGGCAGAGAGAAGTGAGGGCAGCCCGCATTCAGAGAAGCCTCAGACCAAAGGACCTTCTGCCTCTGTCCCTGAAGATAACTGTTCGGTTTTACAACTCCTGCCCCAACGGATACTTCACAGTGAAATCCACTAAATGGAACCCTGCATATGCAGGAATCTCACAGCACCCGAACGGGCATCTAGTATTGTGTCAGGCTGATTACTAGACCACCGGTTGGTCACTGCAAATAATTCCAAAGGAGAAAAAAGGCCCCACTGCCCACCTGGACAGCTTCCTCAGAAGCCCTGGGTCAAGTTAGGTACCCAGAACATGCAGAGTGCTGCACACAGGGCAGTAACCTGAAGAAACGATGGAAAAGGGTGAGCTGGAGATCCACCCAGAATTAAACATTCTAGAGGCTAATCATAGCCAGGCCAGATGCAGCTTTTAGTTTGTTTTTCTAAGTTGAATTCTACCGGAGCTCTTGTTACACATCACCTGTGGCTCTTCTGTAGGCTGACTAGTTAAAACAAAGGCTGTTTAGCTTACAACCCTACAATATTTACCATCTACCCTCTGGGGTGAGAGAAAACACCAATAAGGTGGCCAATGCCTGTGTCCCTTGCCAACTAGTTGTTTTCACTGAGGCGAAGTGATGGTCCTGGCGATACACACCAGGTTGCAGGGAGTCAGGAAGAACATTGGGCGTGGGGCCACATTATTCCTCAAGAGGCAGGTATGTCCCTCTGCTATAACAATTACAACCACCCTCATTTTAGTTATTTACTTATTTATTTATTTATTTATTTCCAGACAGGTTTGTCTGCAACTTTGGAGCCTCTCCTGGAACTCGCTTTGTAGGACCAGACTGGCCTCGAACGCACAGAGATCCGCCTGCCTCTGCCTCGAGAGTGCTGGGATTAAGGGTGTGCACCAAGCAAAGCATTTAAAAATGTCTATAGTCACACAACCGGTGAGATGGAGTAGGAGTGAGGCTCTCTTGTCAAAACAACAGAGCTGTACTTTAGTTACTTGAAAAAGAGTAGCCAATGGTCCCACAAGGAGACTGCCCTCTCCTGGCTGTCCACAGTCACATCTCATGAGGGTCTGGTTGGGTCCACTGCAGACAGGTAGCATGCTCACCTATTCTGGTTAGGTGGCAAAGAAGCCTGTTCTCCCGGGGCCCCCATCGCTTCCCCCATAAAAATTAATCAAAATGGGGCAGAGATACAAGGGACTCGTCTCTGTGGCTGGGCTGCAATTTCCTCTCTGGCCGACTGGCTTATCCCTGAATAGAAAAGAGCAACTGGGGGCAAGAACATGAGATGTGTCTGGCTCCAGGCCCTGTGGCCAGGGGTGGGGGCCGAGGAGGTGCCACCAGCCGGGTAGAGATGCGGTGACATCAGCACAAACAAGCCATGTGATGGCTTCTTTAAATCGTTCCAGAGTCAGGCCTTCCAGTGCTGCCCTTAAAAGGAAGTCTTTTGCTCTGTGCGACTGAAGACCTTGTTTTATACTCTTTCCACAGGAAAACTCTCCAGCAGACTGTGGGATTAATAAGATGGTGAAATGCTTCTTCTAAAAAGCACATTTTAAAACCACTCGACGGCTCCGGCGAGTTAGAGCTATGTTTCACAGGGTATGTCCCTCTTTGAAGGTATATACCGGCTCTCCCCTAGAAACGAGAGGAGGCTCATGTGGCAGTCCTGCCCTATCTTGAAGCACCTTCCAGGGAGAGAGGTCTATCCCTACGGGTATATGCACACTGCTATCCCCACTCCCCTCTCGGCTCACCCCACGTCCTGTACGCTGAGATGTGCACAGTAGCTTGCGTCTGTAGCGCTCCGGCTGCACTCCGAGAGTTAGGGCTGTGGCATCCAGTGCTGACTTCACCCAGAGAGCAGACTTTAGGAAGGCCCTACAGCGCTGTGGGTGGTCTCCTAGCAACCCCAACAGCCAAGGCTGTGCTAGGGGCCGCTTCTCAACTAGGACCTGAAGGGGGATGCTACACAGCCCAGGTGCTGGCACACAGTTCATGCCACGGCTCATGCAGTCTGATTTGAGTATGTCTTGGTTGTGCCTGGGCTGGTGACGCTGAGCTAATACAAAGTTCAAGTTCCTTCCTGAATCCCGCATCCTGAAGCCTTGGCATGTGATGTGGACATGTTACCGGAACAAACGGTTCTGGCACCTAAGTTTTTTGTGGCTGAGCTCAAATCACCATCCCATCCTTCAGCATTAGGGCTGGGACCCGTGTGGTGACATTTTATTTATGATTTATGAAAGCTTGCCTGAGGATTCAGAAAGCAAAGCCAGCCTCAAGCTGTAGAGATCAGGCAGTGACGATACACACCTTTAATCTCAGGACTCAGGATTAAGAGGCAGATGGATCTCTGTTAGTTCAAGGTCACCCAGGGATCCATTAGAGTGAATCAGTCTAAAAGAGAATTAGAGCTCACACCTTTAATCCCAGGTCTCGTGAGAGGTATTTAAGACACCACCAGGGTCTCAGAGCTGGCATTCAGCCACACTGAGGATAGGAAGACATTGAGGTCTCAGGATTCTCCAGCCACATTGAGGAGAGGTTAGAATCTGAGGTTTGGTGGAGCCAGGATCACTTTTCAGTCTGAGGGACACTAAGAGATAGTGGCTGGCTGCTTTGCTTTTCTGATATTCAGCTTGAAGTTTGAACTCCAATATCTGCCTCTGGTCTTTTATTTTTTGTGCTACAGACTGGTCTCAGGATCTCCAGGTTCCATGAACCCTGGGACTAGTCTCTTACCTCAGCAGGGTTCACTGACAAATCTGTGTGCAAGGCACTGAAATCCAGGGGTGTTCTGGAGCATTTATGTACACTGTAATGTGTCTCTGCCTAAGGCACCTTCTAGTTTGTTTAATAAAGAGCTGAATGGCCAATAGCTAGGCTAGAGAGACCAGGCAGGACTTGTAGAGGGGAAGGGGAGAGGGAGAGACAGAGACAGACACAGGACAGACAGAGAGACAGAGAGAGACAGAGACACTGGGAGGAGGAATATAGGCACAAGATTTTGTCAGTGGAATCGGAACAAGTTGAACGTGCCATATTAGGAACAAGTTGAACGTGCCACATGGCAGATTGTAGATTTAAAAAATATGGGTTAGTTATTATAAGAGCTAGTTGAGAAAAAGCCTAAGACAAAGCCAAGCTTTCATAATTAATAATAAATCTTCGGGTCATTATTTGTGGGCTGGTGGTTCCAAGATAGTCTGACAAGAAAGCTTGCTACACAGGGGTAATGACGGGCTTGGTCTACAGTTTAAACGTGGAAACCAATCCTGATCCAATCTCATAGCACTTGCTAGATTAATTCAAACCGAGTCATGGCGCTGACACTCACTCAGTTCAGGATGCTGGGTAGCCCTTCCTGTAGATGAGACCCACCAGGTTTCACACTTCTCTCAACAAAAGAATCCTGTCCCCGAAACACATCTCATCAGCACCCCGGCAGATTCAGAAGGACACCACACTCCCTGTGGAAGCCAGCTTGTCTCCTTCATAAAGTTCTTTTCTTAGAAAGGGGACAAATCTGCCAAAGGGGTTCTGAATGGCAAAGCAGGAATGCCTCCTGAATCAATCACTTCACGTTCAAGAGCAGCCTCTGTGTGTAAACTTCCTCCTCCCTCTATTCTGGGAACAGGAAGTCCACTGCCTTTCCCATGGCAGGTGGCTGCTTCCCAAGCGTATTAGATTCATACAGAAAAAATCCAGTCAGCTGGAGATGGATCAGCTTCAGGAGTCCCATGAGTTTCTGAGACAAATGTTTGCCCCAGTATAAAAAGAAAGAACAAAAACAATACCATTCTTGTGACCAACCCTAAACCACAGGAACAAAAACTCACACCTGCTCCTTTCAACTGTCTCTCGGCTTGTGAAACACCACTGATGCTAGTATCTGTATCTACGCTGGTGTGGTAGGCCTATTCTGTCCCTTAAACTTTGCCCTAAACACTGAGTCTTCTGCGAGCGGACTAGTATGAACACCGCTGCACCACCGAGTGAAAGGGAAGCTATGAGGGACGGCATGAGCAGCACGCAGGCACCACAGCTTCTCGGGGTACTCCCCGTGCGTGCTGTAAGCCTGATGCCACTTTAGAGAGGACGCTGTGGGAACACTCTCCCTGAAGATGATGTCGGGGCACGGCAGGCAATGGACAAGCCCGTGGCTCAACACGGTCGGCTGCCTATTTTTGTAAGGCCCTTCCAAGCAGGAGGGATTTCACACTTACAAACAGCTGGGGGCAGGAGGACACAAAAAACAAACAAAACCCAAACAGGAGAATTTTGTAAGAAGGAAGTGCGAATGTGATATAAAAATATACATAGCCTTAGCTGGGCTCCACTGACACAAGCCTGTAATGGCAGCATCAGGGGAGGCTGAGGCAGGAAGATTATCCCCAGAACCAGGCCAGCCTGGGCGATGTTCTCTCTCCCTCTCAAAGGCTCCATACTTGCTGATCTTGGTATCTGCTTTACATCACTGTGGCAGAGCTGAGGGATAAGAATGAGCACACGTCCACAGCACCACCAGTAACATCCAGTCTGTCAGAGAAACTTTCTCAGTCTATGTGGCCTACAAGAAGCAAGGAGCTATGTTGTCAAGTCTGAAGGATGCAGATGTGGCGAGGCCTGGAGTGGCCAGAGACTCCAGGATCTCCAAACTGTCCCCAGCTGACCTCAGTCCCACAACTGCAAGGGCTAACTCGTGCAGACCATCTGGTGGAGCCTCACGTGGGATGAGGCTGGCCCGCACCTCTCCTTCAACTTCACCAGATCCTAAGCACAGTCACTTGCACCTCTGTGTGGGGATCTCCTGCCTACCGTCCACACACCCAGCCTCCATCTGTACATCATTTCACCATCTGAGGCCCCAATCGAGCCCGTGCTTCGTTGAGGAAGAGTAGGCAGGTATGAGTGTCTTTTGTACAGACACCAAGAAATCTTGACAATTCCCTTGGGATTCTTTCACAAATGAAGTGGAACCTGTTTTAAAAAGCATTTCTAGAAAATGCCTATATTGGTCTGGACATATCTGTGGGAACCTACCTTGATGTTTACCCCTGAGACGCAGGACAACAGCTGAGCCCTGCCTTAAGGTGTGTCAGAGACAAAAACACTGCTAACAACCTGTACCCGATGGACCAATCAGAATACCTTCTTATCCCCTTTGGAGACTCATTCTGGGAAGGACCATTCTCCTGACCCAGTGAGCCACCAACATTGCACAGCAAAGCAAGGCTCCATTTGTAAATAAAGTTTGGGTGCTGAATGCCCTACCAAGGCCCACAGGTGAAAAGTTTTGCCCCCAGCTTGGCAACCCTGGGGGGCCTAGTGGAGCCTAGTGGGAGGGTGCCTTCAAAAGGATGACATCAGGGCTGCAGCCCTGTAACAACCCCCTTTCACTTTCTACCTACAAAGAGAGGGTATCTGCTCTGACAGTCTTTCCACCATAAAAGCAATGGAACCCCCTTACGACCCCAAACTGGGAGCCGCTGCACCCGTTTCTCCCTGTGAGCTGATTATCTTGGAGGCGTTTCTGGAAGTCACAAGGCCTGAACACTGAGGCATACGTAGCACCGTAGGTATACTGTTATCACCTGACAACTCCAACATGTCATTTTACCAGAAGCAGAGCAAGGCAACAGTGTCACCAACACCCTAAGGGGGTGTGCCTAGGAGACTGCGTCTGAAGAGGGATGAGCTCAACCTTTCTCCCAGTCCATGTGACTCACAGGGATAAGGCTCACAGCACACGGTCTGTGACCTGCTGTTGGGGCTATCTGAAGTCTAGTCTGAAAGCGCAAGAGAGGGCTCCTGACCGCAAAGCCCCATGTGAACCTGCTCACAGACCTGACAGGTCTGCCGACAGCTTGGGAGAGCTCTCGAATCTGGCCTAACAGCAATAATTGCTGCAGTATTTGCCTTAAAAAGTAAATTTTGCATGGGAGGGATGAGCCAGGGTTGCTGTCGTCTCATATTTCACAGAGATGGGGGCCTGAGAAACCACAGTGCAGAGTGTCAATCAGCACTGGGGGCCTGGGATGGGATTAAGGCACTGCACAGAGTCACAGAACCAACAAGCTCATCTCCACCAATACAGATATATAAGCCCTCTTCTAATGCTCTCCTGTACCCACAGGGACAGAGGGAGTTACTGGCTCCGGACTTACTAATCTTAAATGGCTCAGAAAATACATACAGCATGTCAGGGCAATTGTCCGGCTTGTCCAGAAGGCCGCCCTCCATGACGAAGCGAAGAACTTGCTCGTTGGACAAGCCTTGGTATGGCTGCTCAGCCAGTGTGGCAATCTCCCAGAGGACGACCCCAAAGGACCTATTTGGAGAAACAAAGCATGAGTAGCTCAGAAAAGGGTGGGCAGGAGTGTGTCCCCTTCCTTATTAGCATTTCTTCAACCCTAGGTGCGGAAAAAGTCTCCTCAATGTGGTGACAGCACTCTGTATGTCAAACAGCTCTGTGGCTAAGTGTGGGGTATCTTGCCTTCTTTGTCCCTGCTAATTTGCTTCCCGTAGGGCCAGCAAAGCCCAGGTGGCATGGCTGAGATCGTTGAGGTTATGGGGGCTTCTAACATCCCTCACACAGTTTTGACTCCAGCACCAGGTCCCAGTACTGGCTTGGGACAGCTAAGCATCTGAACTATCTCCTTAGGGGATATTCTTTTCATCCCAGTTTGGAAATCTCTATGCTAATGGTTCTCCAACTACTGTAAAGGAGGGTCTTCTTGGAGTTCTTAAACAGACAGATACCTGGGTTCCCAGAGTAGGTCTTATCTGACAGGTGTGGGGTGGGAGCTGGCTCTTGGAATGTCTAAAAGTTCTGTAGGATCTTGACTCGGGCCAAAGTAGATGAAAACCTGAACCCTACAGAACTTAGGAGCCACTGGCTGGGGAGGCAGCTGAGTCAGGCAGGGCACGGGTGAGATGCACCTGCCCATGGTGCATGCCACAGCTAACAAAGAATCCTTTGGTCTGGAGGCTGGCTGAGGTGTAAACTCAGCAGGCAGAGCAGTGAAGGAACTCTACCATGTGTATAGCTGCTGGCCTGTCAGTCCAGAGGATCAAAGTGTAGTAGATCCATGTATACAGAACCTTCAGATAGGTACCAGGGGTATATTGTCACCTGCAGCACAGATAGCTTGTCAGAGAGAATCTCCACCTTTGCAAAATTCTCCCTGGCCTCACGCTCTGGTTGTGTTAATGGAATAAAGCGGACTGGACATTGGAAGCCAATGCAAAGCTTCGGATGGACACCCCAGTGGGGCTGAGCCCCACATAAGAACCTGGGGCCGGCATTTTCCACTTAGCACCCTGAGGACCCTGACCTAAGCTGAAGCAGGAAGCCTCTGACTGAATCATAATGTTTGCCTGGCTGCTTCATCTCCCTTCTATGAACAAAAGGGTTTTGTACAAATTGATACTAAGCAATGTCAGACAGAAATAGAACCTTAGCAGTCAGACTCAAGGTTCTTTTGAACTAGCAGTGACTAAGATTTAGTCTTCAAATTGCACAAAAGACCCAAAAAAGTCACACTCTGTAGTGAAATCATGGTTCTGAAAAACCTGGGCTCAGAGAAATGGGTTTCCTGTCAACATCAGTCATGGACTCGCCTTCCAGAGCCTGTCTGGTCACATCAGAGGTACTCTTTGGAGGCTGCAGCGCCCACCCTCATGTCTGAAATATAGCCGGAGACAAGCAATGATGTATGTGGTTTTCTATTTTTGTCGACTGCAGGCTGGTCTTGACAAGGTTCCCTTCCAGGCCAACTTCCCTCACTTCTAATGCTTTCCCTGGTTCACCATAGGCTTCCAGGCAATAGGTAACAATCTTGGCCCCGAGTACCAACTGCCTTATCTAGACACTGGTTACTCAACTCCTGAAGAAGCCAGCATGCCTTCAGCTTAACTCTCTCACAGTTCTCCCCCCAGACTCCTGCAGTCAGCATCCTTTTCCACACCAGACAAGAACAAAGATGTCTAGAGACATAGGCTGGCCAGCCTGCCTTTGTGAGGAAGGGGACAGTCCCTGGAACATTTCTACAAAAACTCAAGTAAAAGCTATGATAAATGCAGTAGATGGGATTCAGGGCTTGGCTTGACTTGAAGGTCCCTCCCAGCGCCATGTTCCTAAGGCCTCCTACAAAGTCAAACAAAATTCTTTGGGATTTTTTTACGTACTTGGAACAACTGTCTTATGACTATGAACTCATTCTAAAATGACTGCCATTCTTCTAAGAGGCACAACTCCAGTTAGAGCTGAGAAACAGTTCATATATCCCAATGGCCTTGCTATCTTCGGTTGAATGCTCGAAGGTAGGGCTGAGAAAATAAATGTTCAAGCACAGCTGATGCCTTAGCATTTGGTGGAATGGATTTGAAAGGCCTTTCCTTTTTATACAGATAGTTCCTTGTTAGTTTGTAGCGGCTATGGGGTCACAGTGGAGGAAACAGGGAGGGAGCACCCTGTGAGCCTGCTGTGGCTTGTACTGACAGTTAGTACCCAGAACTGGGCTAGAAGGAGTCTGTGTGAGACTTCACTTTTATTTCCCTATGCTGACTCTGCTTTCCCACCCTGCAAGCTGAACTCAAAGCTTCCAGAAGCATGAAGGCCGGAAACAGCAGATGAAGTGTGGCCCTAGGTGTGCCCTCTCCTGCCACCTCGCCTGAACATGGAGCAGAGAACCGTGATTTGACAGAAAAGAGGTAACCTCGAATGAGCTACTGCAGCACAGACCTCACCCTTGAGTCAGGAAACAAGCAGGCTGTGCTGGGTCAGACTCAAATGCTATTCCAATTTGCACCTGTCTTCCAAATAAGATCCAAAGCTCCCAAATAAGATCCAAAGCTCTTGACTGGGAAAGGTTCATGAGGCTAAAAAAATGATGTCAGTCACTACTGGGATAGTTATTCTGTGTGGTTATCTGCAGATGGAGTAAACAACTACCGTTTTTGTAACACAACAGCAATGGGATCTCCCGAGAGGAAAGCCAAGACACTTGCTGACATTCGAGGAGGGGGACGTGCCAGGGCTCTCGCCTGCCAACAACTCCAGTTGTATTTTGGAACCCGATGACCTGTACACAGCGTTTCCAAGGAACTGCGGTAAACAGCACTACAGAGAAGTCTCTTCACCCCCTGGCCAGTGTGCATTCACCACAGGACACTTTTATTACTAGGAAGATGCTTTGGGTCAGCAACGATGGATATCCATAGGATGGGTGTGTGCCACATACTGGATGGGACCAACAGGAAACCACAGCCGTGACCCTCAAGTTTTGGGTTTAAATAAAGCACTGCCCGCAACCTGAAGGTTCAATGAGGGGAGGCAGGGGAGGCAGGAGCACATGCGTACATAGTATAATAACGTGTTAAGAGCGAGAAAAAGAGAGGGGAAACAGCCAGAGGATAAACAGACAGAAGGGAAGGTTCAGACTTCTGGCATTTCACCACTCCTTGGAAACACAGTATCAGCTAAAAAGGGAAGGAAATGCTGGTTCTACATACGCCTTGGGAGTTCCACAAATACCCTTTTGTTCTACTGAACTCTACATAGGAATATCTCACAGATAAAGGGCTACGGAGCACTGAACGGTGAACTCAGGCTGGCAATGGGTGACAGTGAGCAGAGACTAGGAAGAGCGTCATTCCAGGAGCCTGAAACAAGCTGGCCATGCAGGGAAACTCTCGTACCAGACATCTGAGTGGGTGGTGAAGACTCCGTCCTTGAGGGACTCAGGAGACATCCAGCGCACGGGCAGCAGCCCCTTCCCTCCTTTCCGGTAGTAGTCTGTCTCATAGATGTCTCGTGTCATACCAAAATCTGCAGGGGGCAGAGAGGACACGGTTACTTAGTTGGAGCAGGTCTTGGGGCAGCAGCAAAGGTGCTGTGGCTGTCCCAGCAAGGGCCCTTGGCCTTTGTCTATATTCAAGGTGAATGTTGTCCTTGCTGCCTTCCGGAGAGGCTCAGTGTTACTGCTTGTAATTTTATAAGGCAGACATGGTAAGACACCATCAGTCAAATACGAGACATCCCTGGTCTCAATAATTTACAATCTTTAAAAAGTTAATTCCCTTAGTGCATTTAAAGTGAGAAGCAGTTTTCAGGTTATTGAATACAGCGATGTATCAAGAAAATACACACTGCCTAGACCAAGGGTGAGTGACACACAGTTCTGAAGCCTGATCCAATATCCTGAGGATGTGGATCTCATTTACTTGGAACATGACTCCACCACTGAGGAGAAGGCCTTTCACCACTTAATAGGGGAGAAGATGTTCACGAACATAAAAGTACACAGTGAAAGGCTGAGATGTTCTTTACCAGGCTCCCGGAGCTATTACCCAACACCATTTCCCAACACAATACTCCCACTCAGTTTTGAAAACTTCTCCCATTTTCCGAGTCTCCTGAAGGTGTCACATGTTACGGGTGATGGCAGGCTTGCTGTATAATCTCACATTATTGTGTCTTCATCAAATTTTGATTTTTCCAATTGATCACACCACCTTTCCTCACCTACACTCTTCCATTCTCCTTCCCGGGAGAAAGAGTCGCTCTACCTTAAAAACGCCCCTTCACAGCCGGGCGTTGGTGGCGCACGCCTTTAATCCCAGCACTTGGGAGGCAGAGGCAGAGGCAGAGGCAGAGGCAGAGGCAGAGGCAGAGGCAGAGGCAGAGGCAGGCGGATCTCTGTGAGTTCGAGGCCAGCCTGGTCTACAGAGTGAGTTCCAGGACAGCCTCCAAAGCCACAGAGAAACCTTGTCTCGAAAATACAAAAAAAAAAAAAAAAAAAAAAAACACCACGCCCCTTCACACCTCTTAAGTGGTACCACAATGAGGTCACCAAGGCAAAGCAAGCCCCACGGGGAACGAGACTCTTTGGATGTTAGCCAACACTACTGACTTGCACTGTGTACGAATGTCCAGCTGCCTCTGGTGAGCTGACTTAAGGTGTGTCATCCCTGAGACAGGGGGCACTGGGGGACACCCAGGAACCCACCAGAAGACGAAAATGTAAGTGCTCAAGTCTCATCCCCAAATTAATCCAGTGGCATGCAAATGACAGGATCTGCTTTGACTTGCATAAAGGGGGTTTCTAGAAAACAATCTTTCTAAGTGCAAAAGAAAAACAGAACCACCCCTACCTTCCTAAACATGCACACAAAATTTAATTCTAGAAAGAAAGAAGAATCACAATTACAAGGCAAATTCTCCTCATAAATATGCCACATGGTTAAACAGCAAATATAATCCTTACTGATTTGGGTTCAAAATGGTAAGAGGCACAAAAGAGCATTTTGCATAACTGTAATGCAAAGCGGGACAAAAGCGGCCTTAGCAGAATTTCTGCCTGTGTTGGGAAGAGTGTGAGGGAGTGCAGGATGAGGACACAGGGACAGGCTTGCCGTCTCCCCAGGTCCTTAGTGCTGAGGACACGGGCACAGGCTTGCCGTCTCCACCAGGTCCTTAGTGCTGAGGACATAGGCATAGGCACCGTCTCCACCAGGTCCTTAGTGCTGAGGACACGGGCACAGGCTTGCCGTCTCCACCAGGTCCTCTGTGCTCATGTCCTGCCTCTGCCTACTATTGTGTCTTCATCAAACATTGATTTTTCCACTCGATCACATTATTGCCCCCCCCAATGAATGAACCTGTCCCAGTCCACTCAGGTACACAGTAGCTTCCTTTGAGGAGTAAAATATGGGTCCCCATGCATAAGTGAGGGGATGGGAGGCAGTAAGGGTCACAAAGGTAAGGGGATGGCTTTTATCTAGAAGCTCTGGGACAGGACAGCCTCTTGCTGGCTGCCTACCAAGGGTTCCCAGGGCTCTAAAAATGAATGTGCAAGCCCAGGGAGAGATATGCTGGGGGACACTGAGTAACTCCAAATGACCGATGTCTGCCGTATAATACAGCTGCATGCCAACACCCCTAACTCCTGCAATCAAAGCAAGATGAAGACAGACAGCCCTACTTTGGGTACCTCTGTAGAGAAGATATTCGGTGCTCACTTAAGAGATCAAAAAGTTCATTTAAAAGAGTCACCGCTAGGTTTTAAGCAAGCAAAACATCTCCAGATCATATGTTCAAGAGACAGCCAAAGACTAGAGGTTTTTGCTGCACACTGTCCCTTCTGTTCCTTCTCAGGGCGAACACTTGGTATGCTTCTGAACTGCTGTCCTATCACAGTAGGAAGGTAAAGGCTTGGTAAATGCAGGTGGTTTCCTGAGCAACTTTGTCACTACATTTTTTTTTAATTATTAAAAGACAAATGGAAAACAAAGCCAACATACAAGCATACAACGGAAAGGCTGGGGAGTGTCTCTAGTAGCCAGTGAGCAGAAATATAGTCCAATATAGTTTTAATATTACAATGTACTGGTAGCAACAAGGGGTCTAACAGGCAGGCTAAGCAACTAAGGTCATGGTGGGAAGTGCTATGTGTGCCAGAAAGGTCAAGAACCTGGAGGATATAGCTCAGTAGAACACTTAACTCGCATGCATGAAGTCCTGGGTTCAACCTCTGCTAGTAGGAGAGGGGGAAAGGACTCTCTGAGTCGATCAAGCCAGGTGTGAAACCAGTAGGCAGGGTTCTCCGCTCTCTTACTGCGGACTGACACACCTACCTTACCACCACCATTACCCTATGCAGGTCTCATCATAGGAGCCCTGCCTCCAAGGAACCTCATGGCCTATCGAGGGACAATGTTCTTTGTAAGCTGAGAAATTTGAGGAGGGACTGGATGCTGGCTTTTATCCTCAAACCAAAATTACTCGTGGAAGCAAGCTGTCCTGATTATTTCTGTAACCCACATTCTATCCAAGAACCATGACTACTATCTAGACCACCATGTTAAGGTGCTCTTAGGATGATAGCCAGGAGCAGCCAATGACACCGACTTACACACATCTTAGAAGTCAAGGACAGCCACTGTACATCTGGGACATACTGCAAACCTTCCCAGGGGCAGTCTAAGCACTGAAAAGGCCCTAAAAGTACCCGTGAGTTTAAGTTTCTGCTCCACTCAGGAAAGCACAGGACATACCTCCAATTTTGACTGTGAAATCTTCAGCTACCATGCAGTTCCGAGCAGCCAGGTCTCTGTGGACGAACTTGTTGGCGTTGAGGTACGCCATGCCATCTGCAATCTCTCCAGCCATCTGGATCATCTTGCTTAAACTTGGAGGAATTAGGACTAGATTATTCTGCTGCAGATTGAAGAAACAAAACAAAACATGAGCATCTGGGACTTTCCCCCCCTACCTGCCAGTTTATTGTAGGAACTGACATCCATGTTTATTTAATATGAGCACCACGGGTCACCTGCAGGAAGTCAGGACTTGCTCAGAAGGAACATATTGCTGAGCTCTGGCGATGCCTGCTTGTGATAAAATCATTGTGCTGGTTCCCTGACCATATCACAGGGTAAACATCAATTAGTACTGCTTGGGACCATTATTACCTTTTTTCTTTTCTTTACATTTTCTAACCCTATCCCCATGTATGCATGTGCGTGAATGTGGAGGCCCTTAGTTGATGTTAGGAATCATCTTAAATTGCTCCTCTGTCTATCCTTTGAGGCAGGGTCTCCCAAGCAAACACAGAGCTGGCTAAAGCAGCTGACTCTAGGCATCCCGACCCATCCTTCCAAGGTTACAATTACAGATGGACTGCCACACCTGTTTAGCATTTGCATGGCTTCTGAGGACCTGAACTCCAGTCCTTAATGCCTATGGGGCAACTGCATTAACCAGCAAGCCAGGGCCCCTGTCCAGTACTTTCTGTTTGGAGCAGGACAGAAAGTACTTCAAGTGAAGCAGCAAGTTCTAGTATTGAGGGTTCTCAGTTACTTAGGTCCTAACTAGTTTCTGTCCCTTTGACATCCACAGTCACAGAGCACAAGTGAGAGGAAGCACTGCACACCTGGACCAAGGTCACACGGGACAAACGCTCACTTCCTAAATGGACACTGCATGCTCGATTTACCACGCAAGTGGCCAGGGCCTCTTTGTCTTCATCCCCTTTTCCTAAGGTGCCTTAGCACCTTATATCTTAATATGAGGACTAGCTCTTTCATCTTGGATTACTGTTGGGCACTGAGGACAAGTGGAGTTTAGATGGAGTTCACCCTGTTTGCAGAAGGACAAATCACTGCCTTTGGCACTGAAAAAAAGAATTAACCTAAAAAGTGACAATTTTGACAAAATAAAATAAATATGCCCAAGGGGCTGGCGAGATGGCTTAGCAGACGAAAGCATGCTGCCAAGATACAGGAGACCGATGTTCAATCCCTGTGTTGGTCTAAATGAAAACGGTCCCCACAGACTCATAGGGAATGGCATTATTGGAGGTGTGGTCTTGTTGGAAGAAGTATGTCCCTGGGGGGTGGGCTCTGAGGTTTCAGGTCAAGCCAGGCCTAGTGGCTCACCATCTCTTCCTGCTGCCTACAGATCCAGATGTAGAACTCTTAGCTACCTCTCCAACACCATGTCTGCCTACATGTCACCCTGCTTCCTGCCATGAAAACAATGGATTAAATCTCTGAACTGTAAGCCAGCCCTGATGAGAAGTTTTTCTTTATAAGAGTGTCTGTGGTCATGGTGCCTCTTCACAGCAACAGGAATCCTAAAACAATCCCCAAGACAGGCACAGTAAATAAAGAGAACCAATTTCCTCAAGGTGTATGCAGGTATGTTGTGTACACACACACACACACACACACACACACACACACACACACACACACACACACCCCTACCTGAAGGCTCCCTGTCATCCCAACCCCACATGCAAAACCAATCATTAACCCATAGTTTAGACACTAACTGCTTGTGTGTCTGTACTAGTGCAATAAATCATGCCTCTCTTTCCCTAACTGCAAAATATCTCATACAACACTATGAAGCCATCTCACTTTCCTAGGTCCCATATATCACCCTAAGTTATTTTGAGGGCCACAGGAAGAGCATGACAAGGCTTTGGGATCATACTATCTGGGCTGTTCTACATAGGTCCTATGTACTCTAGCCAAATACTCACGAGAATGCTGGCTCTTGTCCAGGGTTGCTAAGTTATCACTGGATGCCAGAATCTTGAAATCAGGTAGAAGCCCTCCGGCAAGTCCAGGACTACTCTCCACATTTCACGGCAGACTTAGTGGAGCCCATTCATTTATTTAATCATTTTTACTTTGATACAGGGTTTCCTATCTATAATCCAGGGGATGTTTCCAAGGGACGTGGCATCGTCTGGAGGAAGCCTGAATCTCCTGTTTCTTTTATGCTGGTGCTCCCCCCCTTTACACTGTCTTTTAGTATCTTCAGGGCTTTAAATATGCATGGCAAAGTAGGACCTCTGCAGGTGACACGTATTTAGGCCCATAACACATACTGGATTATGAATGCTGTGTAAGTGTTCAACAGGAAGCGGTCACTCATTGTGTGAAAAACAATCAACAAAAGGGACTATCTGCAGGGAAGGCTGACTTTCTGTTAGTTCATGATCTTATGCCCTTTTTCCCCCTCTTCTCAAGAGAGTAGCGATCTTTATGTTAAAGCTCCCTAAGAGGAGCTCACATCCATACATTATCAAGGAAAATAGGCAAATTCCAGTGGGGGAAGAGGTAAAATACACTGAAGCTGGAGTAAATACACTGAAAGTAGGGAACAGACACTGAAGTGAGGGTATATATACTAAAGCTGGGATATACCTGCAAATACTTTTTTTTTTCCGAGACAGGGTTTCTCTGTATTGCTTTGGAGCCTGTTCTGGAACTCGCTCTGTAGACCAGGCTGGCCTCGAACTCACAGAGATCCTCCTGCCTCTGCCTCCGGAGTGCTGGGATTAAAGGCGTGCGCCACCACCGCCCGGCAACAAATACTTTTTTTTTATTCTGACATGAGTTAGAAAGACAAAATTTAGATCTGATGAATTTAAAGTTTTACTTCCGAAGGGGGCTTTAGGAATTCACCTTGTCTCTAAATTACTTTTGTTAACCTTTTCTTTTATGTATATGGGTGTTTTGCGTGCACGTACAGTTTGTGCAACAGCTGCACAACTGGTGCTCAAGGAGGCCAGAACTTAGTTAGACAGTTGTGAGCCGCCACGTGGGTGCTGAGAATCCAACTAGGGTTCTCTGGAAGAGCAGTCAGTGCCCTTAAGGGCTGCTTGGAGCCATCTCTACAGCCCTTTATCTCTTATACAGAGGAAACCGAGGCCCAGGGGCCTCTGACAGTTAGTTGCTTGGGCATTGGAGGTAACCCATGAGGTAACCAACGGCAGAACAGCCCTGAGGCCACATTTAGGGCTTTTAATCCGTGCCTGAGTTGGGAAGGAAGGCGTTCCTTCCTGATTTAGGAGGCATCTCAGAGGACCACTCTCCAGGTACCTCCTATTCCATTAAGCTTTTCTCCTGCAGACAGGACGTTAGTGGGGCAGGAAAAGGCTCCACCAGGAACTTAGGACTGATGTGGGGAGAAAAAGAGACTGCCAGAGTTACCAACCCATTCATTCAGAGCTTTGGGGCTTTCCTCAAACCCCAAAAGCACATGCTAAAAGTAAACGAGGGCATTTGTGAGCAGGGAGTCAGAACTAAAATGAAGGAACTGTTACCTGGGAGATGTTTAAGTTGTAGAGGAAAAGACAACAAAAGCTTCCATAGAGAATGGGAACAGAGCCAGAAATGGAATGAGAAGAGGGAAGTTTCCCTTTGGAGAGCATGCAGGAAGACAAGCTTTTTATCCCCAAGTAATGGAGCCAGGGTCAAAGTGAGGACATCAGGACCACTGAGGCAGCCCCATAAAAGGCAGTTGGCTCTGGCAATATTTTCAATGTCTATCAGTTTACTCTTAGAATTAAGGACTTATAAATCAGACTTACAGATGCTAAGAAGCTGGATGGGGGTTAATACAGCAGACGGGGGAAAGACTCCGCAATGATTAATGAAAAATTACACAGGACCTTATCAGGTTTACAATGTGAAATTTTTACTAGACTAAGCAGAGACCATGCAACTGGGATGATTATCATTTAAAAGTTAAAGCAAGACACTAGCTTATTATCCAGCCTGGAAGGCTGGTGCAGAGTTTGAGAAGTCTCTAAAGCAGAGTCAGGGTAAGGAAAGAGCACCATGTGTCATCAAGGTAAAGGCAGCATGCTCACATGTGTGTATACCTGTGTGTGTGTCTGATGTGCACGCGTGTGCGTACACATGGGCTACTAGCTGTCTTGTGCACAGACTGGGTAGGGCTAAGGTCAAGGCCCCTGCCAGCCTAAACACTGAACTTTATTAAGCACACACACATGGTCCTGGTGAAGAAGGGGGTGCTCTCTGAGGACCATAACAAGAGAAAATGCATGCTAGGCAGAGTCAAGTCTGTAGGAGACCAGCCGGGGTGAGTGGAAGGGTTGGCCCTAGCATGCCCTAGGGCAGGTAGCGGTTGTTATGAGATGTTGGTAGGGGTAGAGGGAATGAAGAAACAAGAACACAGAGATGCCTGAGGTGGAGTGGGTGGGATCCAAGGACGGACAAGATCTCCTCACAGAGATTCCAGCCTGCCCCCAGCTGGACAATCTTTTACCAAAAGCACCCACAGCAAAGCATGTAGCAAGACACTCAAGGCTAAGAAGTAAACAGATTTAAAACCATGTTTCCTACAAGGGGGCTCCTGATGGAAACAGAACAGGTAAGGTAACACGGTGAGAATCAAAACTGACCTCCACTTCTGGTCTTAGAGACCGGAGATAACTTTTGAGATCTCCACGTGTCATGAGTTCCATGATGACCAGGGTAGGCTGGCCTTGGGATACCACCCCCAGCAACCGGACCTGGAGGAATCAAAAAGAGAAGGACTGAGGGCATCCCACATGATGACCTAGGCCTCTTGGAACTGTGTGGTGCTAGGGCCTCTGTGCAGGTCTGTGGGCAACAGGGAAACTATCCATTGGGGAGATAGCAAGACAGTAATCCCAGAGTCGTGGCCAGGGGCACAGAAGTGGCCCTAGGAATGCTTTCTGTCTGTGTCTGACCTTGGCTTGTCAGACACTCTCTTACCACATGGTGACAGTTGAACTCCTTCATCACCGAAGCCTCGTTGAGAAATTCAATTCTTTCACGCATACTTGCAGCCTCATTTACTGTCTTGATGGCTACTCTGGTTTCAGGTTCATCCTTGACCACACCCTTGGCCACTCCTTCATAGACCATCCCGAAGGACCCTTGTCCAAGCTCCCGGTTCATGGTGATCTTCTCTCGAGCTACTTCCCATTCATCGGGAACGTACACTAGAGAGTAAGAGACGGGGATTGAAGCAGGCATGGAAACAGCCCTTACTCAGACTAGAGAATACAAGATGCTGTTTCCTAAAACGCAAGAAGGAAAGTACCAATAGTCACAGGACAATACAGTCAAGGGCAGGCACCCAATCTTTGAGGATTTCATGATACTTGGAGGGTAAGCATCTAAGAACTGAAAAGAAACAAAGAAACATAGGACAGGAAAGAAAGCAGTGGTTCTCTTTTCCTTCCTTGGCAAAAAAACAAAACAAAACAAAACCCACAAAAAACAAACAAAAAAACAACTAAAAAACCCAACCAAAGAAAATAAAAAAAGCAAATTAATCCTAAGAGACAGAGAAAGTAGGATCTTGCCCATCTTCATCAAGGGATTAAAATGAATGTCAGAAAGAGAGAACAGTGTGGAATGGATGGGAAGGTAAGGACCAGAGTGTGGATGAGGAGAGCTAATCATCATCTTCTTGGATGAGCCTAGAGGGGAGAAGCATCCTCTTTATGGACTTTCGGCTTATGCTAGCTAACAGAGTACCTAGCCCTAGGGTAGGGTTTCTGAGAACTTGACTATGACTGGTCCAATAGACATGTGCTGCAAGCAAAAATACATCCTATTTCAAAGGTTTGTTTAAAACAAAAAAAGAGATAACTTGTAGAAGATTTTTAAAAATTAATCAATTATCCATTTATCTGAGACAGGGTTAACAGAGAAACCCTGGTGCTCTCTTTGTGGACTAGGCTGGCCTATTTTTATTTTATGTGTACATGTGGATCCCCCCCTTGTGTGTGGTGGGGGTGCCACACGTGTTTGGGTTCCTGGGAGGTCAGAAGACAATGTTGGACTCTCTGAAGTTGAGTTACAGTTGGGCCTTTTCATGTGAGAGCTGGGAACTGAAGTAGAGTTCCCCAAAAGCTCAGCAAGGACTCTTAATGGCTAAGCCATTTCTTCAGTCTTGTATTCCAAAGACTTGGTTAAAAACAAGCTTAAAAAGATTGCTCTTATGTTAAAACCAACTGCTGGATGTATCAGGTTAAATGAAAAAAAATAAATGTAACTAAAATTTATTTCATCAGCTTTTCTTTATACTTAGAAACATGACTACTAGTCATGGTGGCAGCATACGTCTGTAATCCCATGCCAGCACTTGGGCGACAGAGGTTAGAGAGAGGGCTTGTTACTTTAAAAAAGACAGCCTGGACTACACAGTGACAACAAGGCCAAGGGGGCACGTCAGGGACTACCGTGCTGATTGGACCCTCTTAGGTCACGCACCTTATTCTACCCTTCCCACAGTCGTGTCTGACAAACCCAACATTGTGGAGATGGAGAAACTAAGCCGAACTGAAAGAAGGCAGAGACTAGAGAGAGCATTGCGCAGCCTTCAAAAGAGATGATAGAGAACGAGCGGGAGGACTGTAGAGGAGCGGGAGGACTCTCAGTAGAGAGGAGCTGCAGGAGTGCAGCGTGTGCCTCAAGCACTGCTTGCTGTTCGTTTCCCTCTACTTAGCTGTTTAACTTAGGGAGCTGCAAAGAGGTGGGGATCAAGTTCTGGGTGACCATGCTGCCCCTTTCTCGTCATGGAACCGAGAACTAACGATGAAGACTCTGCCTGCCTTTCCCATCTGTGGGGAAAGAGAAGAACTCCCATGTTCATGAAGGAAGAAACAGGGTGGGCAGTAATGAAAACTACAGTAAAAATCCAAAATAGTTTAAGGTGTCCTGCAGGCTATAAAATGCTGCTTAATCCTAGAGCTGCTGTTTTGCTGTGCAAGCGATTTGAATTACTGGAATGCATAATGCTTTTAAAAAAAATCAATTTTATGTATGGGTGTTTTGCTGGCATGTATGCACGTGGAATGGAGAAGGAAGTCCGGGCTCAGATGGGACGGGAGGGAAATTGTGGCTGTGTTTACTTTTATGCTTTTGGATGCTGGGCTGCAGCTGGAGGTTGAGAGGCCTTGAACACCCTCATATCACAGGCACCTACCTTTAGGTGATGCCTTACGGAAAGGATGTTTATTATAAATCTGGTGTTGGGAACACCACCAATTAATATTCTGGAGAACGTGCCATATAGATTGTGGTGATTTGAATAGCAATGGTCCCCATAGGTTCATATATTTGAATGCTTGGTGAATAGGCAGTGGCGCTATTGGACAGGGATTAGGAGGTGTGACCTTGTTGGAGGAATCATGTCACTGGAGGTGGGCTTTGGGGTTTCAAATGCTCAAGCCACGCCCAGCGTCTTGCTCTCTGCCTGATGTAGGACTCTCCAGCACCATGACTGCCTGCACGCCACCATGCTTCCCACCATGACAGTCATGGACTAAACCTCCAAAACTGTAAGCCAGCCCCAACGAAATGCTTTCCCTTTAAGAGTTACTGTGGTCGTAGTGTCTCTTCACAGAAATAGAGCATTAACTAAAACATGTATTTATCTACTTATTCATTTATTCCTATTGACTCATTTTGGGACAGGATTTCACTATATAGTCCAAGCTTGACTCAAACCTGCTATGTAACCCAGGCTGACCTTGAATTTACAATTTTTCAGCCTCAATCCCCCCAGCACTTGGATTACAGGTATACGTCACCACACCTGGCTCCTATGCACATTCTTGTATTTCATGGCACACATGAGTCTGGTAATTTCTCAACTAGAATTCTGCCCTCCACAGGGCTCAGACAGCTTGTGACTCTGCAGAGGCTGATCTTGCTTAGGACGACAGCATGGGATATGAGGTCATTATACTATCTCTCAGTAAGGATGGGGGTCACTGTCTCCATTTACTATCTCCAAGGATCCAGGCTAGCTTTTAATGAGAATTAGCTATGTGGCTTTGCCACAGAATACGGAGTTAAAGCCAATCACATCCATTCCTTGGGAGGTCCCTGAAGTTAATGCCCTTTAAACCTTATTCTAAATTCAATCCAGCAGCTGACTTTAGCTAGCATACCTCGGCTTCACCAGCCAGAGTGGTTCCTAAGTGTGCACAATGTTATCAGAGCTTTCCTGTAGGGGATTCTCAGTGAGCTTTTGACAACAGCAACATGCTTAACCCTGGGAGAAAGAAGTCTCTAAATGCCTTTGCGATGCAATGTCACTTTGTAGCTATTCGAGGAAAACACCTTGGCTAGTGCTTCTCAAAAGACCAAAGAAATCAAGTTCAGATGAGGTAACAGCGTTCTCTCACCAGTTGGCCTGGGTGGCGACGTTTGTTCCTCCTTTGTTTTGAAGAAAAAAAAAAAAGGACTATTTCTCTAGTCTCCCACCCCTACCCCCTTTCTCTTTGACAAAAGCAGTTACTGGCCAGGATACCATGGCTGCATGTTTTTGGCTATTTAGGAGACGAAAGTGGGGTATGAGGATGTCTTGAGCCCAGAAGTTTCAGGCTAGCCTGTATAATAAAGGCTACAGTAAGGCCTTTGTATGAACAATGTACATTTAGCTTCTTGATTTTGCTTGATTGCTTTCTTGTTTGTTTTGGTGGTGTAGAGAGAGCGCCTGGGGTGTGGAACATGTTAGGCAAATGTTCTATCACTAAGCTACATATCCAGACCTGCTTTGTTTATTTTTAAAGGAGAGAGATCCTCCCGTAAGTAACTATGCTCTTAAGTGTGGTGCACATCCTTCCAGGGTGTTTTCTATGCGTTACAGACACAAACATCTGCATGTATACCTATTTCAAAGATAGCTCTGTGAGACCTTTGACAAACAGAAATAACATTGTTATTCTGCACCTGATTCATATTCAGAAGAGGCTGTTCTTGGTTGGCTTTACTGTAAACATAACTCAGTTAGAAATGATTAAAGAAACCATAGTGAAAACCATAGGCATTTACACAATGCTTTTAAATCACCCAAGTATTTCTCTGTTTTTGTATTTAAACAGAATAACCAATGAGAGCAATCCTGATGATTTCTTTTCTCCTACATATCTACTTACTCTTCTGCAGTAAGAAACATTTCTCTTGAAGATATCCGCTGCGCTCACACCCCTGTGAATTCACTGCCAGATCTGGTGGAGCCCCCTCACAGCAACCTCACAGTCCTTCCAAACACCACACCATCAGGATTTAGGAGGAGGGGCTGGGGATGCCTCCTAGTCCTGACTTCTTACTGTTAGCTGTGTGAGCCTGAACAAGTCTTTCTCAGAGATTCCTGCCTTGCCTGTATCTAGATAGGCATGAGAAACACTACAGGGGCTTAGTGAGGAAATATGATGGGCTTGAAAAATACCCCAACTCAAGCATTACAGGAATCCTCCCCAACTTATCTAAAATGCCTGAAGTTAAGCACTAGGTAAAAAAGAGGTAAGTAAAAAGACAAACGAAATAACCACTTGGTATAACCCAGGTTCCAAGTCAGAACTTCTGAGCCATTTAATTAAGTAGGGGAATGTAAATGGGTGCACAGGCTGTATGACCCCTATCAGGATCCTTACCATCCGCTGCACTGAAATATTCGGGGTTCACAGAGGCATACAACACTCCATTGCCCAACCTGTTGTTATTTCTGTCAAAAAAGATGAAATTCAAGTCAACAACCCCATCTCTACACATCATTGTAATACTTTCATCTTGTCTTTTTCCTTCCTGTCGCATGAATTATCTTGAGAAACAGACGCAAAGCATGCTCAGTTGGAAGTTGGATCCTTGGGATTCAGACCCTGGTGGGCCAGCAGATATCTGAGGACAACTCCTCCACCTTCTTCGGTGGCCTCAGATTAGAACTTTTAAAGAAACACTAGTTTCTTTGCTTCACTGGAAATAACAAGGTTCACTTGACAGGAAGGCTATACTGCATGCTTGGAGAAGCTCTTTACAAGCCAGTGATCTGTGTGCCGCAACAGCCAAAAAGGGAAAACGGGAGCCAGGCGGGGCCAGTGCACGCCTTTAATCTCAGCACTCAGAAGGCAGAGGCAGGCACGTCTCTGAGTTACAGGTCACAGAGAAATCCTGCCTTGAAAAACCAAAAAGGGTAGCATGATCATCTCTCGTTAATCCTCAGGAAATGCTCGTTTTTGCCTCTGGAGAATGGCTGACTAGGAACGTGGGTTGCCCGTCTATACAGTGTTTCCCCCCATAGACGATCTATGTTCAAGCTCAAATAGTCAATCTAGCTGGCTACCACTATTGTCTTATGCTGGCCCAGATACTCACCTCTTCCTATGGAAGACATACAGCATGATGACCAGTCCCCCCACAATCAGCAGGATGGCGACCGGCAGAGCAATTATCAGGTGCATGAAATTCTCATACGTCGCTGCAGAAGCAAGAAGAAACAGGACAAAGTTAGGAGGCGAGTAATTGGCTTGTCTTGCTGTTTTTTTTATATATGGTTGGACGTATGATAAAAACCATTTCTGAAAAAGCCTTTACTCCCCTACCACACACTGGAATCTTCAAGGTAATTTCAGGAGTAGCCCAGCAAATAAACTAAACCGTTTGGAGAAAAATGTAAATACAGATGGAAGCATTATACTCCTTTAAGTACTGTATATTCTGAAATAATAGTTCAAATGTAGTTGTGTGGAAGTGTATACGTTTGCTGAAGTAAAATGAACAGACTCTTACACACACACTAACTACTCATGCTATGCTGATCTTTATGAAAAGTTCCAGGGACAGCTGGCTCACCCCACCCATCTCCCACACAGGATGATACTTTTTGCTAATGTTGCCAGGCATAGGAGGAGTTAGGGGAACATGCCATTCTCCCTGAATATGTTATACATTGCTTAATACAGACACAGGAAGAGGTCCTCTTAAATCAGCAAGATCAGAGCGCTGACCTAACTTTCCCAGGAGTTTCACTGGCAAATGGCAAGTCAAGTTCTCAAAAGAGAGCCTGGCCCTCCTGCAGGCCTTGCTCAGAACAGTCTCACCACGAGAACTAGGAGGTTTTGGACTCATGGTGGTAAGCATGGCAACAGAGATTCCGGATTCGAGATACGTGTCAGAAAGAATTCATAAGACTTCAGTTAAAATGGGGGAAAAAAACCCCAAACAAAATGAGTGACTGGAGAGAAGGGAAGGGGAGAGCCCATTGTTTTATTTGTCCCTATAGTCCATGGACATGAACTAATCTAAAAATTTAATTTGGTTTCCCGCAAGACATCTAAAGATGCACTATATACAAATACTTCACCAAATAAAAGACTAAATTTTCATGGTATGTAGCCCTTGTTATTTAACTATTTTACAACATTTAGTTTTACATAAGACATCACTACATACAACAGCCTTCTAAGAATCCTGACTTCTCAATGGTTTGATTGAAACTTGTAACATTATCCTCCAGTCTCTGCAAAATGATGAATACATTATCTTTCAACATATATGGTGGATAAAGAGTACCTCTTTTTTACACTGGACAGATAAGGGGAGGAGAATGCCTCTGCCTGGGATGTTGTCCTGAAGATTTCTGCCCTAGAGCAGTGAGACCAGCTGCTCCCTGGGTTTCTTTCACCTTGTGATTCTGAGCATTGGCTATGAGCCTTAGCCAGTTTCACTGACTAGGCAGGAGACGGCATGTTCAACTCAATGCTTTGCAAAATGCCTCTACACATAAGCAAAGGTGAAAGCAGAGTTGTCTCCTAGCTCCCAGAGGTTATACTACCCTCTTCTAGTCAGTCACTTGAGATAAGTACCCACGGCTCAGCATCTTCCCAGGCTGAGATCTCAGATAACACACTAGTTCCTTAATGTGACCCTACCTGATAGCTGCCCAGGTGTCTCTGTCTCTCTGTCTCCCCCCTCCCTGTGTGTGTGTGATGATGGCACAGAGCTGTGCACACCAGGGGTAAATGTCAAATGTCTTCCTTTATGGCTTGTAACCTCATTTTTTGAGAGCTCACCAATGGGCTAGACTGGCTAGCTAGCAAGCTGCAAGCATTTTACTGTCAGTGAGGATACAGAAGCACAGCACCACTCCTGGTTTTGATGTGAAGGATCTGAACTTAGATCCTCAAGCAATTACTTTTACCTAACGAGCCATCTCCTCAACCCGGCCAGCTCTGTTCTAACAGAAAAGCAGACATCAGAAGCCCAGCTCAGGCCCAGCCAGCTTTTAGTTTTGACATGCATCTCTTTCCTAAGACTTACTCTTGGCTGGGACATAGAAGAACACAGGGTCTGTCCAGGACCCATTGCCGGATAGAGAGGTGGCCTGAATCCGGGCTGTATAGTTCCCTGGGTTTAGCCGGTTAAGCTTGGCCCCTCCGTACTTCCTGTATTCCTGCCTGGACACACATTCCCGCTGATCCTACAGAAACCAAACAATAAGGGTTAGTTTCCCACAATCGTAAAAGAGGACTGACACCTGCAAGCTCCTCAATGTGCTGGTAACTCCAGCTGCCCAACGTCTGCCTAGCCATCATGCAGGCCAGCTCCCTGCACTGCGGTGACTGCTCCCCAGAGCCTGGGTTCCTGGGAAGACCCGATTGCTCACTGACTGACTGACCAGCAGAGCTGTGGCATGCGACAGCATGTGCTCTCAGGGCCGGCAGACACACATGAGAGTGCAGGCCACAGTCCCAGACGTACCTCGACTTGTGATCCGTACTTTATTTCATACATTAGAATCAGTCCGTTGGGGTTCTCAGGTTCTGGCCACTTTAAAAAGATGGAGTTTTCAGGTCTTGGCTCCCAGGTCACTGGTCCAGGAATGTCATCTGCTCCTTCTGTGCAAGGATGGAAACAAGCAGCCACATTGGGTTTAGGTCTCCAGAAAGGATGACAAATGCTGGGTTAACGTTGAGAATGGCCCTTCCCCAAGATGGGTCTGTCGCAGGACTGCACAGGGATGTTGTGTGTGGGGGGCCCTCCCGAGATGCCTGCTAGCACAAGGCCCAGGATAAGGGACTGGGCATGCTTGATGACCTGCCATCTCAGGATGCCACAGCACCTACCTTCTGACCTATCGTCACCAGAAAAACCTGTGACTGAGTACAAGGAAACACTCCTGACAACCTAAGTCACTTTCTCCAGGTCTGTTTCTCCTATCTAAAGAAAAAGAACCCCTCATACACAGCAGCCCTGAAGGAGGGCAGTGAGCTTCGGTGTAGGCCGAGCCTCCATCTGAGGCACTGACTCTCTGCAGCCCACATCCTCACAGTAACCCAGTGGCTGTCTGGGTGACCGCGAGGGAAGAGGGGACTAAAAAGGAGGCCCACAGGCTGCTCTGGTGGACCAGGACGATTGCTGCTTCTTCTGGATCAAGGCAGCTGCTTTCTTCGGGACCTGGAACTGGGAACACGCTCTCTGCCAGCCTTCCCCCACCCCGGCTGTAGTGCCGTACCTGCAGGCATGGTTCTCGCAAAGACGAAGTTGGAGGCACTGCAGCCCAGCTTCTCGGCTTCGTGGTTGCAGCTGTGTATATCGATGCGGTACAAAGTGAAAGGCCGGAGGTTGGAGATGACAGTTCTCTCCTTGTTATCCACTCTGCTCTCAAAGAAAGGGTATTCTGTCTCGAGTTCTTCTGGGTCTGTGATATTGTAGGTGTCAGCCACTGTGGTGTTCCTGCTTCTGCTAGACATGGTGGTGTTGGCTACTTGCATGACATCTCTCCGCCTCCTTTCGGGTCTGTAAGGAAGAGAAGGCCGGCTGGTAAGTGCATCAGCTTTCTTTGTCTTTTCTGTGGCCAAGATGGAAGTAAAAAACAACAACAACCAAAAAAAACAAACAAACAAACAAACAAACAAACAAAAAAACAAAGAAAAAGGAAAATCCTAATCCTGAAATAAATGAAACTTTTAGGCTCCGTGGATAAGAACCAACGTAACAAGGGGATTTCCTTCTTCATGACCCATCTTGCATTCTCTGTGGCACCCTCAAAACACCCACACACTCACACACATGCCCACACAAGTGGTCCATCAAAGGCACTAGGAAACAACGCATCAACCACTCTTAGCCAGGCATTGCTCTGTTTCACCCAACTGACAGTGCTACTTGGTTAGTCCTGATGACTGACTGACCATAGAGATGGACAAACCAGCTAGCCTCAGTTAAGATTGATTAGGGGACCGATCAGAATGGCTAAAATCAAAAACACCAATGACAGCTCATGCTGGAGAGGATGTAGAGAAAGGGGAACACTCCTCCATTGCTGGTGGGAGTGCAAACTTGTACAGTTACCGTGGAAATCAGTATGATGATTTCTCAGAAAATTAGGGATCAACCTACCTCAAGACCTGCAATGCCACTGTCAAGCATATACCCGAAGGAAGCACATTCACACCACCAGGAGGGGGGAGAGGAGGGAGTGGGAGGAAAGGAGAGAGGAGGAACTGGGATTGGAATGTAAAAAATAATTTAATAAAAAAGACTGGCTAGGGAAAAGGTGAGATAGTTTAGGCTTGAGACACACAGGGCAGAAGGGATCCAAAGGCCTACAGTAGCAGCTTCCTTGACCTTCTCTGAAATGAAGATACTCTGGTTTGAGCAGCTAGCAAGTCCCTAAATCCAGGGCTTTTCCTGAGGACTGCAGGATGACTGCAGTCCCTAATATGCACCATGGTCTTGGAAGTCCATCAAGCCTGACTTTGCTTCTCCTTTAGTAGTGGGTACCTGTGGCCTCCCAACATCCTTTCTGCGAGGGGAGTGGAGCCTCTGCCACTGACTTGTGTTGGTTTGTGAAACAGCAGGAAAACAACAGAACACGTGAGTGGGGCTCCATTTGTTTCCAGAAACCTGAAAATCAGGCCTCAAACATTGATAAGAACTGAGAAAATAAAAACAGACCATCAGACAGGCACCTCTAAGAGGTACACACCACCCTCAGGCTAGCTGTGGGTGAATCATGGGAAAGCTGGGTGCTAAGGCTACTGCTGCATTGCTTGGGACTGGGCAAGGGATGAGAGCTGCGTACAGGTGGGATGCAGCCCACCTGGCAAGAACATGAAGAGTGGAAGACCACAGGGGAACGCTGCCAAGAAGCCAGGAGTTCCATTCTCAAAAGGGATGGGCCCTCCAGAGCTAACAGGTCTGTATTTTCTACTCTATTGACTCTTCAGAGGAAGAGGGCTATCTTTGACCATCTCACAAATATCGAGGAAGCTGTTTGAAAATCCATTTGTTGAGACAATCCAAGAAAAGCACTAAAGGCGAAGTAGCGGCAGGATAAACAGCAGTTAAAGGCTTGGGGGATCTCGGGGGGGGAGGAACAGGCTCAGAGGACTGCAGGCAGCTGGGGTGCCATGGGGACTGGGCTGGGCACCTCACTGGTCTGAATCCAGCTTTCCAACCAGTTTTCAGACTCCAGGGTTGTGCACAACCTTTCAGGAGGAGAGCCCAGTCATTTCCTTAATCCCAGATAGCTCTGGCTCCTCTGATCTTTAAAAGATCCTACTGTGTTGTGTTTGCCTTGGCAGCACATATGCTAGAAAACAAACAACTATTGTGCTCATCATTTTAACTGTCATAAAGCAAATCACTAAATTAAGAAAAATGACCTACAACACAAGCTTTTAACTATTTTAAGTATGCAATTTAATGACGTTTGACATACAACCATTCTGACACTGCTTCTGAAAGACTGCACTGCCTTAAGCAGAAACTCTAAAAAGATGATCCCACTTTCCTCTCCCCCTGCTTTTACCCCAGAGCAAACTCTAATCTGTCACGTGCCTATTCCATATATTTCAGATACATGAAACCACACAGTATCTATTCTTTACTGTCTAGCTTTGTTTCATTCTTGATGGAGTTTTCAGGACTTGTGCACGCTGTGTCATTAGCCAGCATTCCTTCCATTTTATAGCTAACTGGTATTGGTTATGTAACCTTTTGTTTATCCATCCACTGGTGTACAACTGGGCTTTTTCTAGTGTTGCTATTGAACTTTTCTTTTCTTCTATTAAAATTAAATACATTTACTTCTGTCCCCCCAAGCTCAGAAAAGGACAGCTAGTGGGAGTCAGCTCTCTCCTTCCACCATGTGGGTTCTGAGGACTGAACTCAGAACTCAGGGGTGTAGGCTCGGGAGTCGGTGCCTGTTTCCATTTGGGATTTCACTCTGCAGGAACGGGGGGAGACCACAGGAGCAGAGGGTAGGTGTTGGGGGGGAGACCACAGCAGCAGAGGGTGGGTGTTGAGGGGAGACCACAGGAGCAGAGGGTAGGTGTTGGGGGGGAGACCACAGCAGCAGAGGGTGGGTGTTGGGGCGGTGCCCACTCTGCTTATGAAAGCTGACTGTAATGGACACGCTGAGCACATGGCTATGTTTTGGAGCTGGGTCGCCTTTGAAACTGACTGATTCCAGCCCCCACTACAATCACTCCTTTTCTGCCGGGTTGAGGGAGTCAATGGACAGAGGAGGGCGGGGCAGAAATGGGCCAAAACTCAGCTTTTCCCTTTACTGGTTTCCTCGAGGACAGTCAAGTGATTCAGGCAGAGGGCTTCCACCGCTAGGTGACAATGACCTCATCTGCTCTCTGAGGGAGGAGATGTGGCTGAGGTTATGTAATTCTCACACACATGCACCTCCTCCCATAACATGAGCCTGGAGCCCCTTCCTGCAAGGATAGCCTTCTGTAGGAGTTCTGCTGACCACAGTGATAGCATCTTTTGTTGCTCCCTCTAGGTGGGTCCCACGTTGTGTCCCCACCGTGCAGAGAGGAATGAAGAGATGGGACTCGCTGAGTAGCACCAAATGTGGCACTTCCAAGGGGGGGGACACTCACCTGGGCACGAAGATGGAATTGTGCAGGAAATTCTCAAAGACTTTGCGGTACTCGGCCTCTTCCTTCTCAGCCTGCTTCTCGGCTTCAGTTTTGGGACAAGCACAGCAAGGCCCTTTGTCACCACCACACACTTCCGTCTTGGGATTCTCCGTCACCTCTTCCACATCAATGGTGCCATCCGCGTACTTTCTGATGGGTATTTTGTCTACTCGGAAGAGAACAGACTGGGAATGAAAGCCCTGTACAGGGCTTGTGAGCACTGTTAACGGGGACGGGTGCGCGTGCTTGCGTGCATGAGTGCGCATGTGTGTGTGGTGTGCGTGGTGTACGCGTGTGTGTGTTCTGGCCTAGCTCACCTTTGGAGCAGTTGTGCCGGTACAGGTAGCTATCCTGTGGCTGTCGCTGTGTGTGTGTGTGCGCGCGTGTGTGGTGGGTATGCATGCGTGTGTGCGTGCGTGCATGTGCGTGTGTGTTCTGGCCCAGCTCACCTTTGGAGCAGTAGTTGTGCCGGTACAGGTAGCCATCCTGTGGCTGCCGCTGCCACCTCACGATGTAGTAACTCAAGTTACCATTGGGCAGAGTTGGGGGATTCCACTTCACAATCAGCTGAGAGGAAGAGTTTGATGCCGAAAGTACATCTAGAGGAATGGAAGGAACTGGAAAGAAGCACAAAGGACATTTGAGGTGGAGGTTATCAGGGACTCGATGCAAACCAACAGGAAGCTTGCAGGCTTGACCTGGCCACAAAGATAGCAAAAGGCCAAGCAGAACAGAGTGAACCCGAGCCTTGTTTTGAAAGAGTATTAACTGGAATGCCAGCCTTCCCTTTGGAGCATCTGTTTGTAGAGAATCTCTGCGCAAACATGCATGGCTCACGTAACTAGACTAAAGAGACGATGAGTGTACAGGCAAGGTTAGAGGGGACTTTAAAAATCTACAGTTAATTCACTTGTGACAGCTGCCACTCTCCAGTCTGTTTTAGCAAATAGCAAACTGAACTCCTCAGGACTTCATCTGCGATTGCAAATTTGAATCTCTGATAAAAATGACACAGAGACAAAATGAAAAACGGAAGTGGGGGGTGGACAGTGTGTGGAGTACTGTGTGTGCCTGACCCTGCATGAAAGAAATGTGGGGACAGGAACATGGAATCACAGATCCTTTAGGCAAGGTTGTGTGGGATGACTAAGTCATGATCCTGGAAAGCCAGCACACATGAGCTCTTATTTTATGCAAATCCTGTTACCAGCAAGGGGAGTTTAATAATCCTACTGATACTACCGATGTCCAAACTCTAAAAGTAGAAATAACTTAATGTAAAAAGGAAAACACCCAGAACCACTGCCATGTTCTCAGTGGAGTTCCCATAGCAAAATCACAGCCAAAATACTCCCTACCCCCAACACACACACACACACACACACACACACACACACACACACACACACACACACACACACACACACGACAAAGAATAGACTTTGGTATTTTTCGAAGTGCAAGAAATAGGATCATGGTATGTCTCTTAAGCATGAGGTCCAACTAAGCTGTTTTTAAAATCTGAAAGGCAAAAACAGGCTGTGCTGGCTGGTTTTATGTCAAGTTGACATAACCTATAGTCATCTGAGAGGAGGGAAACTAAATTGAGAAAATGCATCAATAAGACAGAGCTATAGGCAAAGCCTGTAGGGTATTTTCTTAATTAGTGGTTGATGGGGGAGGACCCAGGTTATTGTGGGTAGTGTCACCCCTAGGCTGGCGGTCCTGGGTTCTATAAGAAAGCAGGCTGAGCAAGCCATGGGGAGCAAACCTTAGTAAGTTAGCAGCACTTCTCCATGGTTGCTGCCTCTGCTTAAGTTCCTGCCCTGGATTTTTAATGATAGACTGCGATCCAGATATGTAAGTCAAATTCTTTTCTTGTCAGGTTGTTTTTGGTCACATACCACATCAACAGAAAGGACTAACTAGCTGATGAGGACCTTGGAATGTATGAGATGCTAAAGACTCTGAGAACTGCGTCATGCTGGGAGATCAGGACTAACACTAACTATAGCAAAGAAGCTATAACCATCGATGTCTGGTCCCTTCAGGGTTTCTAGAAGAATTTCTCAAAGTTTGTTACCAGGTATTTCAATGACAGGTTGCACAGATGAAACAGAGGCAAAGGATGGACCAAGTATGTCATATCAGTCGCTAGCACTTGAGGACAGGGGCCAAAATGCAGTTTTCAATATTTAGGAAGAACAATCACATTTCTTATCAACCTGCTGCAAGAAAAAATTCCACTATCTTTCTCAAATATGCTGTGAAGATTCTCTGGGGATTGTTATTCCCAAATTCTAAGATGAAATATGAATGTATTCTGTTGCACTTGAAATTCCACTAAATCAACCCATCCCCAGGACTAGATGCCTATGGAAAATTCATTTCTATGAAGACTTCAGGGTCAGTAAATGACTGTGACTGCTTATGGGGTGGGGGTTGGAGAAGTAGGGGTGCATGAGCTCTATGTTATTTTTAAAAATTTCTCACTCTGCCATTTTACACTTACATTGCGCTAGTCTGCACTATTTTAACACACTACTCACTGTAGCAGAATCTGTTCTCAGAGAATGTTTACTGGTGTTGTGGACTGTGTGTGTGCCCATTCCACAAGTCACTATGTGGAAACCCTAGGCTTCAAGTGTTGGGGCTCTGCAAAGTGATTAGGTCATGAGGGTGGAGTTTTAATCAACAGAACTAACACTGACAGACAGAAGGTCAGAGACTGCCAGGCGCATTCTTTCGGGCATGTGAGGACACATCAAACAGATCCCCATGAGCCAAGAAGTCGGCTCACACCAGACACAAAATACCTACCCTTTGATCTTGGGCTTCCCAACCTCTGGAATGGTGAGAAGTATGTTTCTTTGCTTTGTAAGCCACCCAGTTTATGGGATTTTTGTTTTAATAGCCCAAATGTATTAAAACAGTCATTATCTTTACAATGAAGTGTGTGTACATATGTAAATATAGTCTTTGCATATAAAATTACACAAATGTTTGCTTTCACTATTTCTAGGTTTTGGAGTTGGGGAACTAGTACTTCAGCACATGAAGAGAAGATGAGGAGGGATCAGTCAACAGTCCATGCTTGGATGGCACAAGGCTCTAAGCCTATTAGGTGTTTAGCCTTTATTTGCCTGCTGAAAATGCTGATGGCCACAGAATAGAGATGGAAAAACCAGCAAGCCACTAGGTCAGCACAGATCTAGTGCACAGATCAGCATCATTTTAGGTCCTATCAGTTGGCATTAAAACAGAGGAGAACAGCTATAGGCGGCTACACCCTGGGGCATTCAGAAAGAAACCACCTTACAACTCTGGAGGACACAGGCTCATTAGCATAGAGCAGAGAGATAGATGCTTAAGATGGTACAAGTCCAGAAAATTGCTCAGCAGAATTTAAGGTGTTAGGAATGAGAAGAAAGCAGCAACAACAGGCATCTCACCGCTGTCCCTACAGTCACACTGCTCATGTAACTATAGCAAGCTCACAACAAGTCAGGGGTCGGGGGGCTCATCTGGTGCACGGATACCTGAAGCATTGGTGCGAATGTACAAGATCTCACTTTTGGCCCCACGGATATGGTCGTTTTCCACCATGGTGAGGGTCACAGCTTTGACATAGACAGCATACTGGGTCCAGGGCTTCAGCCCATGCAGTAAAATGCCAGGCTCCCCCTCCTTGTTGGGAGGGAGGTCCACATCCACCATGTTCCAGCTGTTGGAGCCACAGGCATCCTGCCCGTCATATTCCGTAACATTTTTAAAGGGTCTGAAAGACAATCAACGAAGGCCAGAGAATGTTGAAGGGCTCTGGCATCACAGCTCTCAAGAACCTTCCCCAGGGGCTGAGTGTGTCACACTGTCTATAATGGGAATTCCAAATAAAACTCATCATCAATTAGATTTCTATACAAGAATAAAATCAAGCATCTGGACTGGGGCTCACCAGCTATGAGCCGCAGAACTGAACAAGCAGCCTCAGAGAGACAGCAAGTTCTATATTCACAGGGACTGAAAAAGCTGCTCCCAAGACAGGCAGATGCTGATTTTCTTTCTTCTGAATTGGAACAGCTTTTTTTTTTTTAATGAATAAAAAATCATGGCTGTTTAATGCAAACACTGGATATTGATAAAGGATTACTTTTGAACAAAACTTTTTTTTTTTTACCAAAAACAGTTTCTAAAATATAAGCTGATAAATACCTGATAATATTCAGATATTTTATTTTCTGATTGTCTCACAAAGTGGCATTAGCGAAATCACCAGCTAACAATGGCAGGGTATTGGCAACACTTTCAAAGACAAGAGAGGGTTCTGCACAGACGGTGGGAGGGTGGGAGTCTACATTTATGAGATGAAAGTGTTGCCGGCCACTGGCTTCTGAAATCATATCAACGTGACCTATGTGCAGTCACAATGGGAGCCGGGGACAGCGCTCCATTCTTGTTTCCCATGGGCTGTAACAGTCCCCAGGACCCTAGGTCCAGCATCAGGGAATGTACCAGCCACTGCCACGGGCACCTTTGCTTCTTGCTTCTGGGGAGATGAGCCTTGGGAAAATGGATGATCACGTCTCTGAGAGCTGCTACATGGAGCAAGTCATGACTACATAGGCAGGATGACAGTTATCAGTACTGGGAAAGTCTTGGAAGATCCCGGAAACCGTTGACACTGAGGTTGGTCCCTCTCCATTCTTCTTTAATGCTACAGGGCTCATGACCCAGAGAAGAGTCAGGGCAAAGCCACGCGCACAAAGAGTGAATGGAAAGTATCGGACCAGTTCAAGGCAACCTCAGTGAGAGCAGTGTATCCTATGGGGGTATGGGGGTATTTGGGGACAGAGTCAAAAACAGTGTTTTAACCAAGTCCTCATTATAGCTTATGACAGTTTGGATGGATCCAGTTCTCTTAAAATTCATCCCCCTTTCCTTTGGGTTGAACTTGATCAAAAATTCAAACCATCTAAACAAAGAAAGGCCTGACTAGCTGTCACAGGTTGGGACAGTGTCGTGTGACAACTAGAGAGGCTACATGAGGATGAAGTGGCCACCTGGCCTGATTCTTCAAAGGAAACCCACTGATTCCCTCTTCAGCCAACTCATACAACAGCCAAAGGCCTTGTCATCGCCACCCTGGAGCTCCACACCAGGACGACAGGCAGGCACAGAAACTCACGCCTCCTTGTAGTAGACTGTGAAGCTGATGAGATCCCTGTAGTCTGGGGGCCGGTAGCGGTGCCATGTTATGATGATGCGGTTCTTTGAGGTGGTGGTGGAGGTGAAACGGAGAACGTCACTTTCACCTGGGGCATAAAACGCACACCCATGAGCGACAGAGATCCACACGTCTCTACGAAACTCGTGCACTACTGTTCTCTTGCCTGAAGCTAGCAGCTGCCCATGCTAAGCTCTGTCTGGGTTTTGTAGGAAGCTTTCTTACTTCCCATCAAGGGTCCAAGTGTTTCGCCAGGGAGCTCCTACGGGCTCATCTTTTGCTTCAGTTCAGCTCACTGCACTGGCCACCCACCCGGGGAATGAGGCATGAGCCTGTGAGAAAAGCCTCTGTAGTGAAGGTGGCGGGCGTAACTTTCAGCTCATCCATACTAAGCTGGCTGCTGAAGGGATCTGGCTAAATGACAGCAAACCTGTACGCTGATCTGAGGGGATGGCAAGAGCTCTTGCAGGTGTGGACATCTGATGGCTTCTACGAAGCCACCAAAGGCAGGTAGGTATAAGACCTGCCACAAAAAGGAGTTTCTCTTAGTCTGAATTTGACACCGAACCAGAAGGCTCTAAGACTTCAGAGTGCTCTAGCAGGAACGAGACTAGGTGGGCCCTGACTTGGGCAAGCCCTGCGCTCTGTGACAGGTGCTCCCTGGTTGTGAGGTATGGGGTGGTACTGAGCTGGCCCTGATTGCAGCATGATATTCCAACTGCAAAGGCGGGGCACCCAAAGCTCTCCAGAGAGTGGTCCTTAGCCCCCAAACTGCCTGAATCTTACTTTCACACTAATGAGCTAAAGGCAAGAGACTGAGACGGAAACCCAGGGAGCACTTCAGGTCCTGCTCAAGTGTCACTCAGAGAGAAAACCCTGACTGTGCTTCCAAAGGAAAATAAATGACTGCTGCATTCATGACCTGCAGGTCAGGTTGGCTGCCTCTAAGGGAGAAGAGGTGCTTTGAAATGCTCTGGTCACAGGTTTTTGCTATGGTCTTAATGGGGAACAGGGCAGGGAGCTCTGCAGGAAGGTGAAGATGTTGGTTATGTACACACTTCCAGCCTCTACAACTCTCCCCTAAATGCCTCCTGGGTCCTGAGGGTATCCAGTAGGTCTAGACACTCAAAAGACAAGGCTAGCCTCTTATCTGTGTGCATGTGTATATTTGACTAACGCTTGGTCATATGACTCTTTATTTTCCCACTAATGCTCCAAAGTCAAAGATAGCGGATCCAGTAAAGCTTTAGAATTTTTTTATTTTTTTAAAACTGGGTCTTACAGCCTATGTTCTCCGCATACATGTTATGATCGTATAGTTCGGTGTTCCCGTGGGACTCTTAACAGTAGGAGCAGCGCTGTCTGACTCTTTTGCCGGCTTTTAGGACCCTTTTCCTCCTGCTGGGTTGCCTCGTCCAGCCTCAATACGAGGGGATGGTTTTATTTGTAACTTGACAATGTCATATGTTTGGCTGATAGCCCTGGGAGGCCTGCCCTTTTCTGAAGTGAAGTGAGGAGGGGTGGATCTGAGGGAGAGGAAGCGTAGGGGGAGGGACTGGGTGGAGAAAACACAGCTGGGATGCAGTATATGAGACAAGAATAAATCTTAAAAAATATAATAAAAATTCAAACCAAACCAAAACAGGGCTTTATTATGCAGCCCAAGCTGGCTACAATTTTGCAACCCTCCTGCCTCAGCCTGTTAAGTGTTGAGAATACAGGAGTGTATCATCATGTCTGGTAGAGTCATAGCACTTTTAAGGGCCTTATTCCATACAGGGATGGAGGACAAAGCTTGACTGACATTCCAGGCCTGAGACCACATTTGGAGAGTGGCTGGATTAACAGGATGGACTCTAGTCTATGAGATCGCAGGGTGAAAACTCTATCACCAGAATGTTACTATTATATTGTACAAAATGTGAAAAGCGCTATAGACTCAGGGATGTGGGCTCACTTCTCTTCAAAGAGGAGGCCCAGTGTGAAGACCGGGGGCCTGACACCCGCTTCTACTCTGAGCCTTCTGCACCATGGCGGGGAGGCAGAGCGGGCCTGTTCACTGGGCTGGAGAGGACCGGCTCTTTAGCAAATACTGTTTGCTCATATTGAACAGACATTTAAACTGCACGGTTCTTACACTCAAACAGATGCTTCGGGAAATGTATCGGTGAGGACCTGTCAGGCACCTGCCCACTACTAACTGTGGAGGCATGAAGAGGCCAGGAGCTGGCTAAGGTGGCTGGATTGACAGTCCAAAGTGAAACAAAGAGCGGCCTGCCCGTGAAAGCCACAGACTGCGTCAGCCACAGAGGTTGGGATGCCATCACTCACAGGAAGCTCGCTCTCCATTGTTCCTGGTGTTTATGTCCCCTTTGCTCTGGCGGCCCTTTGTCCCTGTTACTTCCTCCATGCGGTAAATTTCAGAGACACACAGCTTGGGATTGAAGGCAAAGTACATCTTCCCCGACCTGACGGTCAGGTTCCGGTGGTTCCAGTCCCACAGCTGCTGCAAGTTCTGGTTGTCCAGAACATAGAAGGAGTAGTTCCTGGAAGCATAGAAATTCACATTAGCAACCTACTGTGCCCATGGACCCCTCAGCAACATGGAACCTCTCTGTGACATGTGTGGCTCCATCCTCCTGGGGTTATGTAAAGTCAGACAGTGGCTGTGAACACTGGCAAAAAGATGAGCCAAGGACAATGTTTTGAAATCCATAGGACGCTAATTAACTTTATGACCTCTGTTACCAACACACAAAGCTTCTCCCACCAAAGAATGTTCCTCAAATCATTCCCTAGAAATGACTTTGGTTATTTTTCTCAGAGCCAGGTATGTACAATGTGCTTGAAATCAGCCTACAGGAGAACAGACATGCTCTGCTACTCAACCGGAACAGCTTACATACTAGCAGCAAAGACTGCCATTATCCCCGGGAATAAATCCTACCCATGCCCAATCAGCAGTGCACGATGGGATGGGAGACAGCTTGGCTGTTCCCTCCTCTACATTTGCCTCTCACTGCAAGAAGCCTTCATTTCAGTCCATGAAAGTATGGGAGAGGAGATGGACCCACTAAGTGCTTTCTCTGGTGTCTCGCACCAGGGTAGCAGGGTGCAGTGTCTAACAGTGACTTTGCACATCTGGCATGCACACAGCTTGTTTTCACCATCCCAACTATCTTTAAGGCTTCTGATACAGAGGACCAGAGTGGGTCAGAAATCTGGACTTTGAATGAGTGATGCTGACACCACCAGTCCTAGGCCCACACTTAGAAAACCCAGAGTCCACCGGGCTTGACACAGCACTGATCCCATGGCCCACTTTCCAGTAGAATACAGTCATGGCCAAAAGGGAGGAAGCTATCTTTGGCCACTCTCCTGTCCCATCTAGGGGAGGGGAGAGAGCAAGAGCTCTGCTGGTATGTCTACAGAAGGGTTCTGCAGCAGGTCTGTCTCTCTACCCCTCCCCCTGAGCCCTGATCTGTAGGCAGTATGTCAGTAGATGGTCTGAGTCCTCTGTTCCTCTTGAACCCTAAAAGCTATGTCTAAGACCCACTCACAGATTTAGCAAGCAAAAGTGCAGACAAGAAGCTCTCCCTGCAGCTAAGACAGAGGAGTCCCAAAGTCCTGCTCTATCCCAAAGGCTGTGTCCACCAAGTACCTCTGTACCTGCTGAGGGACCTCACCCCAATCTGAACGACTAACTAGGGAGGTCCACCTTCAACCTGACCTTCACATACTAAGGCATGGGTTATATACAACTGCGATGCTACCAAGCAGCCCTGGACACTTCCCAGAGTACTCAGCGGGAGCTCAGAGGCGAGGACTCAGAACCAGAATAGCCATGAATTCAACACATCTTGGGCCACAGGTAGGTAGGTACCTTAGTGCTATCAGGAGCACTGTCTATGCACTGGAGTGGAACAGGTGAGGTCTGAGTTCTCCCTGGCTTTAAGAGTCCTTAGAAAGGCCAGCGAGATGGCTACATGGGGCAAAGGTGCTCACAGCACAAGCCAGGTGACCCAGACCTGCACAGAGGAAGAAAATTGGCTCCACAAGGCCGTCCTCTGACCTCTGGGCATACATCCCTCTTACACCTATCATGCGCGCAACCAGGAACACAATATAGGTGTATTTCAACAGTCCTCATACCTAGGAGTCGGAGCTCAAGTAAAATCTGTCCAGTCAAGCTGAAGCCCCAAACCTACTCAAGCACCCCAAAACATGCTGCAGTGCAGGGTCCTGTACATGCAGGGGCTCAGGGAACCAGCAAGAAAGTGGCAAAATGTATGGTCCAGCAACACTTTCCTTTGTTAAGAGTGTTTCCCTACCATGCTTGTGTCTTGGAATATTAGACACATTGATCAAAGGAATCCAGATTGTAATCATCCACAAGGCTGATTGTCCGAGAGAAGTCCTGGGACACCTGTCAGTCAGAACTGCCACCCACTGACCCATCAACGTTCACTCTTATTGATGAAGGGGGTAGCCAAGATAGTCAGGCATCTGAAGGAGAGCTGTAATGGTGAAAAGGACTGGTCCCATCATGAGCCCCTTTAACCTGTGAGGTGTTTTCAGTCTTTGGGCTCATCTCTAACCCACTGGTCAGGCTGCTCCCAGGTCTGAGTCCCAGGAGACCAAAAAAAAAAAAAAAAATCTCCTTGTTAGTGAAGATACGGCTAGGCCGGATGCAGGGGCCAATTAATCAGGTCAAACTTGCATCTCAATCTAGGCCAAGGCCTCTTAGTAAACTAATTTCACTAGCAGGAAACAGAACTGCACCAAAAATACCTCCCTTTTGAACAAAACATTCTTCTCCCCGGGGAGGAAGCGTGATTAGAAAGTAGGAATTTGACAAATGAATGGCAGGCACATAGAAATCCAGGGTATGTGACTAATCACTTTGAAAAGCAAGATTATCTTTTTACAATAAACACAAACTTTTTCTTTTTAAACAATGTTGAGAAGGCTGGGAGCTAGAATACCAATATCAATAAAACCCAGGCACTGTGGAGTCTGCAGACAGGAAAGAAAAATATGAACCTTCACCAAAATAATCATCAAACTGCTCAGAGTACCCTGTCAACATGATGCGTGCTTTCCAGCCCCTGCTTCCCAGGCGGCCTTCTACAATCAGGTGAGAATTAAGAGACGGTCCAGGTGGAGATTTGTCTGCACACCTTCCAAATACGAATGTGCCTGCGATGTCATTGTTTTCTAAAGGAAATGACCAGTTAAGGAAACCACTCAGTAAATGTGATTTCAGAAATTGTTTGTGTGCTCACTGCCTCTTTACATTCACAGAATATTTAAAAAAACTGAATTGTTCATTTCTTCTTTGGCTCCTACAGGCTATATAATGCCCTGGGGTTTTATTGAGATTGATACTCCAGCTCTTAGCCTTTTCAACGTTAGAAAAAACAAAAAACTCCCTTCTACTTGGATGAGTTTCACCTGCCAATGTGTAGACCTATTAGGGTGCTGGTAACCTCTTCCAGGAACGGTCACATCATAACCACCCAACCCACACTTAGCTACGATCTCTGGCCACCATTTCTAGGCCAGCACCACCATCTCCCTTTTGGATGCCGCAGAGCTGAGTGACACCTGGAAGACTGCCAGGGACAGGGTGTAGAGCATTCCATGTAGGAACTGAAAATCAGGCCCAAGCATCCTCTCTACTGCTTATGAAGTGCCAACTCTGGGTGGTTTACTCAGCTTCTCCAGGACTTCAGTTTCTCAGCTGCCCATGGGAGGTGTCTTCTGGTCTCTTCCGGCCCTGAGGCCAATTGGAAGAATCGGATAAGCTAAATATAAAAGGATGCTGTGAGCTTTGAATTGCCTCACAAAGGCACTGGATGACCTTGCTACTCTCTGAAGTGTCAAAGTCCCACAGAACGAAGTCACAGAAAACATGCAAGTCCCGAATCTCGATACATAGAGGGCTGAGCCTGAGGTCTCCATTCCACACAGGACTCTGCTTTCAAGCCTTTAGTGACATACTGGAAGAAAACCTGCAGACATGTTTACAACCAATAATCCCCGTTCATTTCCCCAGGAGACACTACTGCTGCCTGTTGACAGCTGTCTCTAGAGGGCATCAGAAGCCAACACATTGAAGCTGTCACCAACATAGCCATTTATACCTTCATCACTCAACCCATCTGTAGAGTACTGGTTCGCTTCAAGTCCAAAGTTACACCATGTACATAGGCTCAATGCATATGGAAATACACACTCAGGTAGAACTAAACCCAGCACCACATATATCCACAGAAAAGGCTATTTGTTGTAGAGTGCTTTTAAAGCTAGCTTTGCTGGGGTATAATTTACCTTCTAAAACTGTACCCATTATAAATATGCAGCTCCAGGGGCTTCAATAAATTTATACAGACACCATCCCATCATCCAGATTCAGGACATTTGAATCAGGTCAAGGACCCCATTCTCCTCCCAACCTAAGCATCTCCCATGTCTGTCCACCCATGTTGCTACATGTACCATGACCCAATCCTTTTGGGTGTTGAGCAGTATCTTTCTGATTGTGCTTATCCATTCATTCACTGAAGAACCCTTAGATTATATCCAGTGAGCTATTTTGGGCAGGTATTGTGAAAAATGCTGCTATGAGCATTCAATTACAAGATCTGCATGTACATGTTTTCATATATCTAAGTAGAGCCTAGAATGGCTGAGCCACATGTTAATTGTATGTATTTTAAGTCTCAAGTGCATGCTAAAATGAGGCTATGGGAGGGTCCCAGAGCTGCAAGAAGGCAGTACAAAACACCAAATCGGCAAAGTCCAGAGGACAGAGGAGAGATGCCTAAACATACCAAGAACTCCAACTCTTCTTACCTGCTACCTTTCTGTATTTTTGTTCTTGTCAAGACATCAATCCTTAAAGCTCTAAAGAACTTGAACTTCTAACTTACGTGACTGCCTCCAAATCAAGTTTGTCTGAAGTAGAGTAATTTCCAGATAATGGAAATATTTCTCTTTTATTTAAGGGAAAACACCAATTTTCCCCAGCAAACACAAACAAAAACCAAACCAAACCAACAACATAAAGTTGACTTTCTCTTTTCATTCCCTTCTACTACCCCCAAGTTTTGCTAGAGATGAGGGTAGCAGGCATTCATGCATTACAGGTCAAGTGTGTATCAATGTACCACACCACTACTTCAGAGAAAGCCCTGCTCTCTTTTGGGTGGATGTATGTGTGCATGCATGTTGAATATACAGATGTGCACCCTTCTCTGTTATTCTCCACCTCTCACTGAACCCAAAACTCACATTTAGGTTAGGCAGGCCATCTGACTAGCAAATTCTTGGCTCTTCACCTGGAGCTACATGTACGTGAAGCTATACCCAACTACCTGGGACATGAGGATTCAAATGTAGGGCATCATGCTTGCCCAGCAAGCACTCTTAGCTAAGGAGTCATCTCTCCAATTCCTGTGATTTTCCTTGTAATTCCTGTGATTTTTCTTATTATCTAAAGTTGAGGTTATAGATGTGACACATTACAGTGAGTAATGGTTGAGACCTTCTGGACAAACCAAAGGGTCCTGATGCTACCTGGGTACCATACTGTAGCTGCCCACCCTGATGGGATTCTGCCTCACCTGTTGCAAGCCTGGAAATCAGCATAAAGAAATGGTTCATGATGAATATGCATGACACAGGTTAAAAAGGCTCAGAAAGAAAACCCAGGAACTACACTGTCTGTAAAATATGTGCGCTCTCATGAGGGCTATTCACAAGGCCAAGTGAGAAGGACTGCAGTATTTTCTTAGATAGCTGAGGTTGACGGATATCTTCATGGGGAAGATTCTTTTTTGCATCAAAACAAAAGTGTTCAGAATCGTGAACCAGGTGAAAAGCATTTATTTTGTTCTCACTAGCCATATTAGAGGCTCAACAAGAATGAGTTGAAACAAGGATGCTTAAAACAAAAAATCAACTGGGATTGGAATGTAAAAAATAAGAAAAAAAAAGAAAAAATCAAAAGTGGCCTGGGGATATATAGATTAGAATGATTACAGGGATAAGATAATCATTTTCAATCTTTGCCACTGTCTGCCAGAGTACACAGAACTACTTAGAAAAAGTACTCGAGCTTCGATCTGCGACGCTCCCGGCCCCAACTTTACTGATGGATTTGGAGAGAGGTACAACCTCATGAGGTACAGCAAGGACTTCCCTGCCCCTGTAACTGTATTGCACATTCCAGGAAACACAGGGTAGAAGCTTACCTTGGTTTAAACAGACAGCACCCTGAAATTAAATGTCAGACAGCTCTACTAAGACTCCTCTTCTCGAAAGCCACGAGTGTGCCCCATGGTTTACCTAAATAACCCGTGAGCAGCAGCACCTCCTATAATTCTACTATCGCCTACCTCCCCAGCACTGTTTGGAAGACAGGCCCAGGAGGGAGGGCAGGATGGCATTCTTTGCTCGACTCTTTCTGACTGTCTGTCTTTACCCCTGTGCTTTTCCAGCTCCAGGAGGCTGTCTTCACTGCCAGCTCTCCCCAGAAGTCTGTCCGATCCTCCGATCCTCTCCCACTGTGGTGGGTCTTCCTTATGGTGCCCAGAGCACCTGCTTTTCTTTCCCCTGGGGGTGCTCTGAAAGCGATGTTTTGCACTGCCTGTGTTAGTTTGTTTATCACCCCGCCCCTTTTTGATTTGTTGAGACAGAGTTTCTCTGTGTAACAGTCCTGGTTGTCCTGGAATCCTTCCCTTCCTTTTTTGAATAAATGAGGAAGTAGTAAAGGGCTGAGCCTAATCTAGCCTAGGAGAGAAAAACAAGGGAGCTGTGGCTGCAGGTGCCCCTCAAACAAACAGAGCACGGGGAGTGTATCACAGGAGAAGAAAAGGCAGAGAAAGCTACAACTAAAGGCGAGAGTCTCAAGTGTCTTAGCCAGAGGCAGCCTCTAGACAGCCTCCAGGCCTCACCTGTCCCGCCCTCCCTTCTAAAATGCTGACAGCAGGATGGGGCCCTAAGCTTTCCAGAGAAGCTTCCCAAGCACAAGCATCCTTAAGAAGACTTGGCTGGTACTTCATATGTAAGTTTCAAATAATGAAAAGATACGCTATAAATATTCTTGGAAATAAAAACCAGCGTCAATTTCCTGCTACACCTAAGTGCATGTATACTTCCAGTTAGCTCGTAACGATAACCATGCCACATAATAAAAATAATCAAAGCCTCCTCTCCACTTTCTATGCCTATCACTTGCTCAGTCTGAGGGAAGGGAGGGGGGCAGGGGGTGGGAGGGAAAGAGGTGTATATCAGACTGAATTCCAGTTCCCTTTAAAATTGATACAACCAACAATGAACCAACAACATCATGGCCTCACATAGGCAGAACCCCAGGAATGACTGGGACACTCTGGGCTGGGTGCCTGGCACCTGCCTTGGATTTGGGAGGAGGAAGATATTTTTCTGAAGCTTCCCATTTTCTAATGGGAAGACAGTGGGCCTTTCAAGGACAGGGTAAGCAGCTCATTCTGGCTGTATCAGGGGATAGCATTTAGGACAGAGTTGGTTTGAGAAGAACTGGAGGCTGCAGAGACACCCTCATGCTACAACCTCACGCAGACACACTAGTGGTCACGGACATGGATTCCCAGGATCTTCCCCTCACTTTCTTCCTGAAGGACTTCATCCTTAACTGATACATCTATAAAACTTCAAATCATTAACTTCAGAGCTACACCAGAGCTGTATCAAATATACAAAGGAGCCAGCAAAGGTACACAGAGGCTGGAGAGACGATGTGAACACACGCAGGAAACACGAGCTTCTATTCTACGCTGAGACCCATGGCTGCTTTAAAACCCAGCTCGTAAAGCAGTTTTTGTGCAGAAGGCAAAGTTTCTATGAATAATACAAATCCTGCAAGGTAACTGACACACAACCTCTATAGGTTGCAATATCTTTACAGTAAAATGAACTGTCTGTACTTGGCAAGTTTTTATGCTTCTCTATTTGAGGAGGAGATGGCTCAGATGGTCAGGCGGGTCATACACCTGCTGTATCAGCGTGAGGACCTGAGTTCCACCCCCAGAATCCACATAACATACATCTGGAATCTCAGCACCTGGGAGGTGGAGCAAGAAAGTCCATGGGGGTTGTTGACCAGTTAAGTCTAGCCAAACTGGTGAGCCCCAAGTTCAGTGAGAGACAGTCTCAAAAATGAAGGATGACGGAGAAAGACACTCTATGTCTCTTTGAACCCCCGCAGGCATAAAGGCACACATGTACATACATACTCATTTACACACACACACACACACACACACACACACACACACACACACACACACGAGCACACATACACACATGAGCACACTCACTAATAAAATGTAAAAAGAAGAAAGAAGCACACCCCACTTCATAAAGGAGAATGTAGAGGTTTTACCCTTCGAGCTGCTCCTCGCCTAAGATTAGACGAAGGTTCTTCAGGAAGGACAAGGAGACCAAAGCGTGGGAATGGCGGATCTTCACATAGCCGGTAACCACCTCGATGAGCCCCATGAAGTTCTCCAGTTCTGAGGCAATGTTATCTACAGGGAGAGGAGTCTGTGTCACTGAGAGTTCCTCTGGTCAGGTGGCATATTACAGTTGGACTCAGACACACAGGTGTGGAGGAAAACGCAAAGCAGGTCTTATTTGGGGGAGCTGGGTGAGAAAGCTGGCATAGGACCAGCCGTCCCTGTCAAACACACACAATCTCCACTTCCCACTGGCACGCTGGGACGAGGCCTCTAAGGCGGGAAAGCAGGCTTCTAGGAAGCTGGATATTGCAGCTGCCAAGCTGATTAACAGAACGTGAAATCAGAAATGCCAGGTTGCTAATTAGCCCCAGCTGACAAACCGAGGGAACGTCTTTTAAATATGTTCCATGACAGGCAGTCCTGCTCCCGAAGTGCCAGGATAGGACTGGGCAAACCTTTCTCAGTCTCAGTAGGAACAGCCTTTGCTGTACCTGGAGTTCCTATGATTTGTGGATCTGTATGAAGGAAAACACACTCCGATACTGCAGCAATGATTGTTGCAGGGAGCTGTGCCTTTCATTTTCTGCAGCACAGAGATAGGGACAGGGTTTCTTGTATCCTGGGATGGCCTTGAACTATGTAGCTGAAGATGACCTTGAACTCTTGATCTTCTTGCCTTCCCTCCCTGGGCAACTATACTTGACCTGCAAGTGGTTTTTTTTTAATCATTTCTGCATCTCTAAGTTTTCTGCTTTGCTCACAATTACATACTTATGTAGCCAGAAAATAGCCAGCAAAAGTTGCTATTACAATAGGACACACAAACAGTGCATTTTCTTTTATCTTGCTTACCCACCTTTCACATAGTAAGTAAGAAACATAAACTTCAGTTCAGCTCATGACAAAATTCTAAGACAATTTGGGCAAGGTCCTCTGACTGGAATTTTATACTGTACGTGATTTGTGAAGGTTGATTTAGTGAAAGATTCCACTTTGGTTTGATACAAATAAAAGTGTAGAGGACAAATCCTCACACTTAAATGACTAAGGGAAATTATACCGGGAAAGAAGAGTGGCTGCAGCTAACTCTGTGTTTTGTTCCCCTGGAAATGACCTATGACCTCAGTGAGTGCAAGCCAAGAGCTTTGGCTGTCCTGGAACCCACTATGTACACCACACTGGCTTTGAATTCCCAGAGATCTGCCTGCCTCTGCCTAATGCTGAGACTAAAGGCATGTGCCACCATTCCCAGCATGGACCGGATTTACCAATAACATTTACCTCCCACAACAGGACAGGAAGATGTAAAACAATAGAATTTTAAAAGGCATATCCAGGAATGAAAAAATTTAAAGAAAATGAATAAATCTATTATGAGCAGGAACTCAACTTGGTTAGTACTAAAAGGGTCAGAGTTCTTGTGTGGGGAACAGGGTCCTCTCCATGGTGGAAGGATAGGGAGCAGGCGATAAAAACTAAGGGCTTGTGAAACGAACAAAAACAAACCCGAAGTCTAAAAAGATACCACTTCCAATAACAAAAACAGTACTTGTTTCTATTATCTCTATACTCTAAGAATAGAATTCACTCATTTAACAAGTATTTATGGAAAGGGAATTCATGAAATAAATAATTAATGAAAAAATAAGCTACATTTACCATAAAAGACTGCCCCAAAGATTTACCAGTACAAATTAAGATAATAAAAATTCTTCTGCCTATAGTATTCTACTTATAAAACTCTCAGTACCTCAATCCAGTGGCCCCAGTCGCAGAGAACTGAAGGTAATGTATTGAGGGGCCTTTCTCTGGCAGTCAAAGACTAGAAAGAAGTCAGGTGGTGGTGGCACACACCTTTAATCCCAGCACCTGGGAGGCAGAGGCAGGCGGATCTCTGTGAGTCTGAAGCCAGCCTGGTCTACAAAGTGAGTTCCAGGATAGCTAAAGCTGTCTCAAAAACCACCCACTCCCAACAAAAATAAGAAAACGATAAAAAAGAAAGAAAACAGGACTAGAGAGAAGAAGACTGCAGGGTTATGCTGTTGCCACCGATGTGAACTACTGTTCATGAATCCAATTCTAAAGCAGTGTACCAGGGACTCTGTCTATAATGTAGTGAAAGGGAGTCTGTAGGGCGCAGACAGGGGCTTGAGTGGTGGATGGCACATCTTCCTGGCTCTCAGAAGCAAATTAGGAGATCCACCATCCTTTAAGACTTCCTAAAAACTCAACTTAGCAAATCCTTCCCTTTGTTCAGTCTCAACAGAGGCAAGTAACCCAAACTCTGGGCATACAGATGTGTGGACTCAGCAGCAGCTACAGCGAGCTGACTCATGGGTCTGATCCATCAATGTCTGCTGAGGTCTGTGTGTGTCAGGACGGGCCTCTCCTGCGTAAGATGTGACTAACAGAGATGAGGGCTGATCCTCTTTACAGGAATAAACTCTGGGCTAATGGCTGGAACATGGGCTGCCTTTCAATCTGGATTTTATCTTTCAGGAAAACTCATAGGAGAGACGTCACACAAGAGGCTTACTTATATCCCATGCTGTTTTTCTAAGCCTGTATTTTGGTTGTGACTAAGGGCCAGCATTCATGCAAGTAAGCGGAGAGACCTAGCTGCGGGTCTGGTGCGGTGGAATACTTACTGCCCCGCCGGATATTAATAAGCAAATTGCCCTTCAAGATGGTGCATCCTTGGAGCATCTGAGCCGACGTAACTGAGTCGATGGTTTTTGTTTTCTTTTCTTCATCGCCACAGACTTTGGGGCAGGGGCCTTCACAGGGGATACAGTACATGCTGTTGAAGATAAAGAGTGGACCAAAACCACAGAATTGAGTTTATCTTCTTCATAAAAACAAACAAACAAACAAAAGCAGACAGAAAAGCAAGAAGGCCTTCTGTTTGTTATTACAGCAGCATTTCATGAAGGAACCTTCCTTGAAGCATCCAAGTGATCACACAGTCTCTCCTCCACAGGCCTACCCAAGGCAAGCCATTCCAGCCACAACCACGAGGAGGGAACAAACACATACTGAGGAGGAGGAAAGCGTGCTGCGTGTTTCTAGACAAAATACATGAGCCATGCAAGAAGCATGTGGGTATCGTAGGAATGGAGCAAGCTGGTCCCTGTGGGAGACATATCACAGAAAGGCATTCTGGGTCTCGGGAAAAGTGGAGCTGCTTTCTGAGGAGACCCTTGCCTGCACACCAGAGGAGGCTGGAAAAACTGGCAGGGGTAGGGAAGATATAGCAGGATCTTTGCCACTAACAGGAGTCTAATTCTCCAAGTCAGAGAGCATGAAGCCCGGGAAGGGATTCCACCAGGCACGAGGCACAGTGCAGGCCCATTACTGTCTTGCTAAAGCACAACTGAAATTATATCTTGACAGTGCTCTGCAGAAACTTGTAAATTGATCCAAATATTGTTTTGCTGCATGTACAATAAAAGCCAGGAGCTTCCTCTGCTCTGTAATGAGGTTCTGGTTCAAATGCTACCCTGAGTGCCACACACTATCAGGAGCCAGAAGGACTCACGGCGTACTTCCTGCTTACAGACCATCATTTAGGAAACAGCAGAGAAAATGCTAAGCTGGGGACTACACCTTCCGAGATGTTAGCTGTGTGCAGAATCAGGACCGGGAAGCTGGGCCGATTTCTGAATGAGACAAATGATCCAAATTTCTGGGTGTGTGTGGGATAGCATTACAGTCAAATTATTGTTCTTAAATGCACGTATGAAGAGAAAGAAAATCAGGGTAAAATAATAGCTAAAATTTTACTAAACTCCCCCATCCTCTCCCAAAATAGCACACACATACATTTTGTATTGTTTAAAAGCTTACACGCAACCAATAGTTCTCTGGTAATCTTCCTATTTCTGGTTAGGGGAGTGGGATTGAGGCTTTCAGAGGGTCCTATGGAAACTGGACACAGTAGCCAAAGGGGGGGGGGCGAGGGTGTGAGAAATGACAGTTAGCTTTCCATAATACCACAAGCGACATCTTGTGGCGTCTGAATGAGAATGGCCCCATGGGCCTGTGTATTTGAAAACTCAGGCCCTAGTTGGTGGAACTGTTTGGGAAGGACCAGGAGGTGTAACCTGGTTAGAGGAAGTGTGTCATTGGGAGTGGGTTTTGAGGTTTCAAAAGACTAATGCTGAGCTCCACCCCATTCTATCCTTTGAAATCATAAGCCATATTAAACATATGTTTCTGTAAGTTACCCTGGTCATCACAGCAATAGAAGGGAAACTAAGATGGTTCATATTTCCAGCCCGGGAGGGGGCTTTCGTGTGAACTTTCCTTGTGATATGTTTTTCTAATTTGACTAAACACCAACCTAGCTCCCCCTGAAAAATAAATGCACATTTTTGAAATAACTACAGCTTCATTGCAAAGATGGTACAGAGCACCCAAGTATCCTTTATCCAACTCTCAGAACTGTTGTTACATCTTATACAATGACAATACAGTGTTTAAACCAAGAATCCAACCTGGCAGTAGTGGGGGTTCTGTGCATAAAACCCCACTGCAATCAAGACCCAGGACAACTCCAACAACACAAAGTCCTCCCTTGTGTCTACCTATCCCGCACCTCACTATTCCTAATGCCTGGTAATTGCTAAACTGATCTCCACCTTCAGTTTGGGATCGTTACATTAATCAGTTATGTAGTGCATGACTTCTGAGACTGACATACTTCACATTGCTAATTATCCTTGAAAGGCAATCTTTTCATCGTTGAGTAATATTCCACGGGTAGATGTACCACAGCCTGCTTTACTACTTCTTAGAGGACATTCAAGTTGTTGCTGGATTTTCTTGTCCCACCAGGTCCTGCCACTTCAGTCCCAAATGAACACACAGAGGCTCTATGTTAATTATTAAACTGTTGGCCAAATGACTAGGGCTTCTTGTTGGCTAGCTCTGTCTTCATTATTAACCCATTTCTAATAATCTATGTATTTCCACGTGGTCTTGGCTTACCGGATAATGCCTGGACCTGTTATTCCTTTAGCTGACTACATGTCATCTCTTCTGGTGGACTTCCTCTGCTTTTCTCTGAATTCTCGTCTCCTACTCCCACCTATCTTCCTGCCTCTATTGGCTATTGGCCAAACAGTGTTTTATTCTCCAACCAGTAAGAGAAACATATATACAGAGGGTCATCCCCCATCACAAGTTGTCCTTACTTCCTGGTATTACATCTAAAGAAATTACAAACAACTATCTATGTGCAGTAAATGTTCAGGGTCAACATGACTGGGCTGTAAGGTAATACTACACTTGCTCCTCCCCTGTTTTTATTCAAATAGAAAAATATGAATCGCACCCCCTTTGTTAAAATGTCTAGGTATCATTTAGCACTTAAAAATGTTTTTATAAGGATATGTTCGGATTACATATTTACAGTCTGAGTTTCCAAAAATCCACTCTGGTATAGACAAAGTACAAACAGTATTTTAAAAACCACTTTCAAGTAAGTGCTAAATAGACTTCAGAGGCCCAGAGAAGGACAGCTATTTTTTCTTGGTGGTGTTTTACTTTACAATGGAAAAGGCTGTGAGAATGGGCAGGAGCAAGAGCCCAGTGCTTTAAGACCACACTGCAGGGAAGGAGAACCAACTCCCATGAATACGTAGCACTCTCGCTGTGTGTTGCAGCACAGGTGAATGCCTTGAGTAGAGAGGCATGACAGTTGCCAGCCAAAGATGACACCACAGTGAGTTCATCGACAGCTAGTTACCCTTTGCTACCCCAGCCCCTGAAGGAAGGTCCTGGACTGTGGCTGAGCATCTACCTGCTGCCAGACACGGGTCTCTGGCTCAAGATGTGAACTAGTAAAGCGCTTTCATATACTAAGACTGTGAATGTTTGGATCTAAAATGTCCTTAAAGGCCCACTCTGTAATGGCTTAATCATCAGCTTGATAAAGGCAGTGCCTACCAGGAGGTCTGCCAGACCTTGGTACATGCCCAAAAGCAATATAGAACCAATCAACCTTGGAACAAAACCCCCAAAATCATGGGCTAAAACCCATCCTCGTCATCTTTTCTTTTCTTCTTCTTTTTTTCCCAACACAGGGTTTCTATGTGTAGCCTTGGCTGTCCTGGAGCTCGCTCTGTAGGTAGGTTGGCCTCGAACTCAATGATCCACCTGTTTCTGCTTCCTGAGTGCTGAGATTAAAGGCATACAACACCATGGCCCTGCTCCATCTTCTTTTTTATAAACTGATCACCTCAAGTATTTTGTAACAGAAAGTTGACTAATAGAGACTGAAACACATGAGTAAAATATGACAAAACTTATTTTTGGTAGACTGTATATCATACAATTCTGAGTCATTATACTCCATGGCTTACTTAATTATTTAAATATTTAATTTTTTCCTTTTTTATTGTTATAATGGTACTGTTATAACTAAACAGGTAGGAATTTGCTTTACATCTTAACATTATGAAAGAAAATTCAATCTTTGATTTGATCCAGAGGTCAGCTTATAATAGAAACATCCCCAAATACTACAAGAGAAATGGAATCCTCTTATTGAGGACATGTTGGACAGCTTTTATAGAAAGTGACTGTAGCAAAACTATACATTTTGTACTGGAAGAATTGTTAGCCATGCTGGGGGCTGGACTATGCCAGGGACTGGATCTAGGACCTCCCACAAAAGCTAAGGTCTGGGTCTAGGGCTTCCCATGAGCTGGGAACTGGATTCAGGGCCTCCCACAGGCTGAGTCTAGATCCAGGGCTTTCCATAGGGTAGGGACTGGTCTGAGGGTCTCCCACAGGATGGGTTCTGGATCTAGGATTTCACACAGGATGGATTCTGGATCTAGGACTTCTCACAGGCTGGGGACTGGTTTGAGGGTCTCCCTCAGCTAAGCATGAGAGGCAATCAGAGCCTCCTAGTTCTACTTTGAGGATTTCAGAAATGCATTTGTGTGTACAGCCCAGGAGGCAGAGCCCTCTGCTCTGTTCAGGGGAGGAAACAACAACCCCAGGCCTCTGACTGTCCTGTGTTTCCAGAGCTGTAACATCCTGTTTTCGAGAACATCAGTCCATGATGAGGTTGTAGACGTACCATTTGTTTAGTCAAGAACATCTCTGCTTTCTCACTGAAGCCTCAGGAAGGAAAGCCAGGGGCCACCGAGACAACCAAAGGGACCAAAGGGGCAGAGTTCAGCGGAAGGAGGTTCTGGAGAAAACATGGCTGACCTCACTGCTAGTTCATGTGCAGAGCCCAGGCTTATACTGAGAAGTGGGAGACCTGTCCCTGGGCCACAAGAATGTTAGCGAGGACTTGTCTTCCCTTCCTCTCATACTGCCAAAGCTCTCACTGGGCTAGAACAGGAAGCCAGGGAGGAGCGTCTGTAGTTACCATCACCATCTCTCAGACTTCAGCTCTGCAGGTGGACAGGGAGCGAGACTATCCAGACACCTGGCCAGCAGGCTAACCCTTCCTCTCTAGTGCTAGCAAGGCACTTTCAAAGAAAACAAAGCAGGCCAACAAAAAAAGAAATGAAAACAGACCAGTCAATCCAAGATTCTCATTAAAACAGGCTTAGTCAGTGCCCTCCAACAGCCTCCCCATCTGCATGAACCTCTGGGTGGCTCCTGCCCTCATGGAATATGCAGCAGATTCAACTCCTGGATCAGGGACAAGAGCTACTGACCTCTGGGTGCTGTTGCGGATGAAGCCTGAGGGACATTCTTGCATGCACTCGCCATCGTGGATGACAAAGCCGTCTGAGTCGCTGCTCTCGGCGTTGGGGATGTTGGCGCAGAAATCGCGGTCCACACAGCGCCAGCCCTCGAACCTGTAGGTGCCGGGTGGGCAGGCAGGCACGCACACGCCTTTGTAGTAGTAGTGTCGGCAGGCCACGCAGGTTGTGTTGTCGTCAGGTGTATGGCAGCTGCCTAGGCACTCCGGGTGGCAGCACTCATTGTTCTCGGTGCACGCTCGCTTCCCGCACACACTCGGGCACACTGTGGGAGCAGGGGGAGAAGGCGGTGAGATGAAGGGCTACACAGCCTCCCCTGGGCCATCTGCTGCCACCACCAGCACGACGGTGTCCCAGAGACAGGCTAGGAAAGCCACACTTCCTCTGAGGTCTGCACAGGTAATCCCACACTGGGAAAGGACACAACACATGCCAACTGAGTTCTCTCTTATGAACTGGTTTGCTATGGGATGTGCCATTAAGTTCTAACAAGCCTGCCCTTCTCTTTTCTCATCTGTAAAATGGGATGACTACACCTATTAAAAGGGAGCCCATGGCACAGGTGAACAGAGAGAAATAGAGACCATATGGGCTACTAGTATTATACAAGGCACTGTGGTCCCAGCCCTTGGTGGTATGAGGAATCCATTCTAAGACCCCAGGGGATTCACTACACACACACACACACACACACACACACACACACACACACACACACACACGGAGAAATGGCGCACACAGACTCATGGATATGAACAATGAATCCCCAGTTGGTGGCCTCTTTGGGGGGGGTATAGAAACTTTAGGCAGAAGAGCCCTGCTGGGAGAAGTACTTTGATGGGGGTGGGGTTTCTCTATTTCCTGTGTGCGAGTGAATTGTGCTCACTCTGTGTTTCCTGCCTGTCAAGTCTGCCTCACAGTCCTGGTGTCATGCCTTCCCCGCTTTGATGGGCTCTACCCTCTCTGGGTTACAGCAAACTAGAACCACACACTTTACTGTGTGTCACTGTGTGACTGGTCTCTTGCTTCTGAAACTCCAGAAAAAGAAACCAAGGATATGGACAAGTGCTCAATTTGCACTCAAGAGGATTAAGCAACAATCGAGGCACCACTGTGCTTACTAAAGGTCTTCGGTGGTGCTTGTGCCTGCATGCACCAGCAACTTCTCAGCACAGCACAACCTTCCAGCCACGAGCAAGTCACTAGATCAATTGGTACAGGATGGTAGCACACGAGGTGCACCCAGCCAGGGCCCACCGAACTATAAACCTTGCTAAGTTAAAGGCTGGGTCTGGTAACCGCAGATGCACCATTCATACCCTGAACAGATGCTCTGCTGTGCATTTCCATAAATGTGTTATCATGAGCACACACCATGGTCTGTAAGCCTTACTCATGAACAATGTATAAATCAAGAAACTATGAAATCTGGTTAGCATTACATGTGCCCTATTTTCTTTGGGGCGGTTACTGTTGGGAAACATTACAAAACTATATAAATATGTATATTTTAACTGAGATGTACCAATGAGTCATGATTCCATTTTTCTTATATGAAACGCATGCTAAAAACCAAACCAAACCCCAGCAATCACAGATAACATAAAGAACACACAAGTCTATCTGCCCCCAAAGGCTACTCTGTCAACCTTTCATGTGGCCTTTTCCAGATCCTTTCATGCCTTTACATGGATAAATACAAATATTCCCAAGTAAATGTCAAGCCACTCAGAAAGCACACGTTAGACTCAACTATGAACACACCACCCCCGTTACAGCCATGTCCCAGCATCAAGTACACCCTCAGTCCCCATGCATTACTGTTCTAGGAGCATAGCCATTTTGTGGGCAACCTCGAATGACATTAGGATCAGTTTTCAGAATCGACTGTGCTGAGTCAGCCTGTCCTGTGGTGTCGAAGCAGTCTGTCTATACAGTTATTAGTCACATCCAAGTGTTCCTGTGTCACTGCATTTAAAAACAGGCACCAGACTGTCAACACTTCAATCAGTAGCATAACCCAGTAAGAAAACCAAAGGGTTCTCATGACATGCCAAGGCATAAGTAATCTTGCATTCTTCTCTAAAGTCATCCCCCTGCAGAAGCATTAGTTATTTCCCCCTGCAGGAATTCTGGGTATTTGGCTGGGCACACTTTCATCCCTTTGACTCCTATGCCTCCTAGCCTCCACTGTGGCCAGAGTATGGCCATGTGTCTGAGTTCTGCACAATGGGATATAAGTATTCTTTTTTTTCCCTAGAGCTTACTGGAACATGCCTTAAAAAACACAGTACATGTCCTTCTTTGCTGATTGCAACACAGAAGGAATGCATGGATATTCATGCAGCTATCTTTGACCATGAGGTAACACATGACGGAGTGAGACCAAAGGAACTTGGCCTCTCAAGATGGCGGAGCCCCTAGGCCAGTGGTTTTTAGCATGCATTTTTTATAAGAAAAATGGAATCATGACTCATTGGTACATCTCAGTTAAAATATACCTGTGGGTCACGGCTCCTTTGAGGGTTACTTATCAAGATACCCAGCATATCAGATATATTTACATTACAATTCATAATAAAAATAGTTATGAAGCAGCAATAAAATAATTTTATGGTTGGGGGTTACCTCAACATGAGGAACTGTATTAAAAGGATTGTGGCATTAAGAAGGTTGAAGAGGGGCTGGAGAGATGGCTCAGAGGTTAAGAGCATAGACTGCTCTTCCAGAGGTCCTGAGTTCAATTCTCACAACCATCTATAATGAGATTTGGTACCCTCTCTGGCCTGAAGGCATATATGCAAGGGAATACTGTATACATAATAAATAAACCTTTTTTTAAAAAAAAGGTTGAGGAGTCACTGATCTAGACTAATACCGAGCTGTTGACCTCTGAACTTCTTCAGGTGATGAAAAAAACGATAGGGGATGTCCTTCTGTATATATGTTTCTCATATTGGTTGACAAAAAAAAACAAAAACAAAAACACTGTATGGCCAATAGAGGCAGGAAGATAGGTGGGGCAAGGAGACGAGGAGAATTCTGTGAAAGGTAGGCAGGCAGAGAGGAGCCACAAGGAGACACCATGTAGTGGAGAAGGAATATGAGGTCCTGACCCTTATCTGGTAAGATAAGACCACGTGAAAATACTTAGATTAGTAGGTATGGGTAATAATTTAGTCTGTGTATTTACCTGAGGCTGAAGGGGCAGCAGGACCTGGTGGGACAAGAAACTCCAGCTACAATAAACTTTTATCGATTACATACAACTAACTACCCACAAATAAGACCTGCCTTCAGAGCCATGAACAAAAGAAGGAGAAAAGTCTTCTCACCTGTTTTGACATTTGTTCATTGAAACTAGCTTTTTGGCTGTTTTAGAACATCTATTCTAGCCCCAAAATAAGGAGTTAATTATCTCTGGTCACACCAAAAGAAAATAAGCTGCAGGAGCCCTTAATGTCAGAATATAGACACTGCCTACCATAGCAATTATTTTGAAGACAGTAAAATGGATTTCACTTTTCAGCCTACCATGTTTTTAGCTTCAAACACTATCACTGACTCTTCCACTCGAAGACATGGAAAAATGACATACCTGAAGATGATGTAGTTTGATGATTTCATTACATGCATACATTGCACAGGTCACATCAGTATTTGAGGTCTAAACAAGCACTGGAGTTATTTGTGTTGATTTCAGTTTGTAATTCATCAGTGACAGAAGTGAACAGATCTATTCTGCATGTATTTCACCCACCCAGTATTGGCTGAATGTGGGCTGCATCTATGTGCCAGACAACTGCACACCTGGTCCGTAGCAGTCCCAGACCTCAAGGAAAGGACACCACACGGGGCAGCAGGGGGTTGTGGAAGCACATGGTGTTCCTAGTGCCTTGGGCGTCAGAGACAATGAGATTGGCACTGAGAAGCAGAAGGGTGGTGGGATGACATATCAAGACCATTCCTCAAAGAGAGTCTCACATGTAAATATGGGCTGGGATGTTGCTGGGAACAGGGTAGGGCCAAATGGGGAGGCACCACAAGCCAATCAATTGGTGGATAGTGACCATTGCTTAAAGTTTTAGGCAGGGGTCATGTTTTCACCCTAGAAAGGTCATCAGGCTACAGTGTTGGCATGATGACCACAGTGGGCAGAACAGACAGAAAAATGGCCAGGGGAAAGGAATCTGCTGCTGATTACGCCGTTCCTCTACAGCTTACACAAAAGCCACAGATCCACAAAGTTCAGTATAATCAGCTATAGTCTCCCTGGTAAAGCCATCCCAGCTACCCACTAACACTATGCTCTACTACTGGAGAGGAAGGGAAAACAGATTAGGATTCTCACCATTATCATCAGAGATTATTAATGGGGACCAAATGTCAACTCGTGGAGCTCTTTACTTAAGTGTCACTGGAAAGAAAATGACACATCATAGCAGATAGCAAGGTCAAATATGTAGTAGTAATAGCCCCAACCGTGTAAAAACAGGGGAAAATAACCTTGTGCACTCTCCTTAATCTGCTACCACCAAATGTAAATGCTACATTTTCCCAGGATGAGAAATAGAAATAGACACTTGATAAGACACTTGTTAATGCAAACAAAAATGTGTCCTGTTGCATGTCTGTGATGGGAACTTCTTCCCAACCAAGAACAGTAAAGTTAAAACGTTGTCTTTACAGACAGAACTATTCTTTTTAGGTAGATACCACATCAATGGGTCCCCACCAGATCAATGGGCTCCTTAACATTGAGTGATGCCAGCTGTGAACAAATGCATATCTGCTATTGTGTAAAGGGAGTGTAGAAAGGGCATGCAGAGGAGAGAAGAATGTGCAGGACAGCTGACTTTTTGCTAGAGGACAGACTCCAGAAATCTGTGGTGGCTACCAGGAAGCAAGCAGTGTTCCACTTTCTCTACAGTACAGAGGACTCTGGGAGGCAGCAGGAGAACACAGGGCCGTCCAGGATTAGAGAGTTCTGGAGCCAGCCTCAGAAGCCTGCTGTAAATTTTGTCTCATCTTGATGTATATAAATATTATTAGTGTTCAGGACTATTAAGGGATTTCTTGAAAAGCCCCGGGCAGCACGTCTCGCCAGCAGATGGATGGTTGCTCTACAGGAGTGCCAAACTTAAAATTTACTGCAGTAACCAAATTTCCAATTACAGCCCTATGGGGAAAAGGAGGGGACCTCTTCCCCAGCTCCTAGGGAGGAACACACGGGCACGGTTAAGGGCAGCTCGACCTTAAAAAGAA